TGTGTAGTTATAGAGACTGAAGGTATACTTTGAGTCAAAACTTGATCCATCATACTCATTGATCAGTTTAAAAGTTTGCAAAATGTGGCTGAGCTTGCTTGGGTCATTGAGGTGGGGCCACTGATCAGTCATTTGATTTCTCATTATTTAATCCATTGAAGGTGGTATAGAATGTTGTCTTTGAGGTAGACCTAATGAATTTCGAGACCGGTACGTAGGATAAGCTGCTATAGTAATAGGAGGCATTACCATCTATTCTAAAGCTTGCAAAGTGCTCTGCTATTGAGAAGAGCTGCTTTTTGGAGGCAAACTTGCAGCAGGCTGAAGACTCAAGTTAGATTGTTGCATTTGTGCATGTATGATATATTCGGTTTCGCAGGCCGCAGACGATATTACTGGCGTAGCAGGAGATACTTAATAAGGTGCTCTGGAATCTCCCGAAAAATCAAAGAAACTCGAAGCATGAACCATTGCCGAGAGCTTCAGAAGAATCAATTCAAGACGAAGAGACTTTATATATCACTATCAGAAGCTTCACAAAAAACAATTAGCTCCATTAGCTATTCATAAGAGCAATTGGAAAAATCCAGAACCATTAGCAATTAATTCAAAATAAGCAAGCAAGCCCGAAGAAAGGAATAATGGTGAAGAGTATCAAATATTATTACCAGAAGTCTACTTGCAAAAGGACCAATTCAAGAAAAAAAGGATCTAGATTCAGTATCGGAGTCTTCAAAGAAAAGCTGCATATATTAAAAATATCTATGTATATTAGGCATATTAGTTTTGTGACAGAAAAAAAAAGGTTCTTGAATGAAATTTTGAAAGTGAATCCAAATAGGATTATTTCTACTACGGTAAGGATTTAATTTCCCAAAAGGTATATTCCAAAAAAGGCTCGTCATATAAGTATAATGGAGAATTAATTGATAGTTGCATAGAAAACAATAAAATCGAATCGAATCCGAATCCTTTTCCGAGCAAAAATCCCTTTTCATTCAAGGACAAATCACAAATCCTAATAGGTTTGGTGTTTGCTTAGGCGAAGAATACATATGCACAGAAATACATAGTGAGGAGTCTTCGAGCAAGGAAAGCAGCAGTGTTTACGTAGGCGGCTTTAAAAACCGGGAGAATTCTGAAAGAAAAAGTAAAAACTAATCATCTCCATTGATTATCCTTGTTTTGCTTGACTAATAGTGGTTGTTGATACATTAAATTTATTTGTTTCTCTTCCACAACTAACTGAAAATTTTGAGATAATAATCCAAATCTTTTAGCTTTGATGTCTCAAAAATCAGTTATTATTACACAATAAAAGTCTCAAAAACTGCCCAGACGTTATTCTTTTAATCTGTGTAAGTTTTTTCATTATTGAAATATTGGATTATGGAAGTTACTTTATTGAATTGAAATACTACGTAATCGTTTATCGTGACATTGAAAAAATGAATGGTTTTTGACTAATTATTGCTAATTTCCCACAAAAGCTCACATACCTACGTGACAGTGTAATCAATAGATATACAAAAAAATCAGAACCGGAACTTCAATATAAGTATAGTTTCTTAAATAAATTTAATTTTTTCAACATTTTTCTTTTCAATTTTTGCCTTTCTACAAAGGTTGAGAGAAAAGCACGATATGGAAATACAAAGTTGCAATCGAACAGAGAGTGATAGACATATTACCTAATTGTCTTCTGGATTTATATTTTCATTCAGATTATATTAGTTACCCATTCCGTTTTACCAGATCATCGCCGTATCTTCTGGATCTCGAACAAAGTCAATTTTATCCCATTTTGCATTTTGTATGGTTAATTTCTTCCTGTAGCTGAACAAATCTAAAGGTGCATTTTCTAAGTTGTTCCATATATTTTCGATGTTTGTTTCAATTCTTTGACGCATTTTCGGCCATTTACCAGATTCTATGAGGCAGCCCCTTTTGGAGAGGTGGCAATTGAATAAAACTTACATTGAAAGTTTTCTAGAATTCGCCTTTTTATGTATTAAGTAGTTAAGGAAATTAAAAGCAAAACAGATATCAAAGTATTCCTTCCTGCGAACAAGAGTTAAGTCTAAGCCTGGTCATCACTGAGAATTACACTACTGAGAAAAACTTTGTACCTTGCAAGCTTGATAAATTTGTAGTATAACATACCCAGGTTCGCTCATTAAGATTGAACGATGAGAATTTGTATTACCTTACAAATAACAAATCTCCTGAAAAATGAAATGAAAAACCAATAGGACCTACGTTGTGGAAACTTACTCAATTTTACTTACTGGACATGCGCCCGACATAGCAAATATTTGGGAAATTTAAGGGAAGCTGTAATATGTAAAAGAAACGCAAAATTTGTGAAACGCCTCCTTTATTATCAAAGAAAAACGTACCGTTCTCGACCTGGAATTAACGAGGAAAAAGAGAACGGAAGAGAAAACCTCGATTCCCCAAAAATCGAAACATACTGTCATTTAGGTGAATAATAATTGTAAGTCATTAATTTAATAATTTAGGTCAATAATTCAATAAAAGCTGAAACTAGGTACCGCCCCTGTTCTTGTGCTAAAATTTTAATTACACACACGACATTCAATCAACACTACCTGTAATCAAAACTGAAGAGTTTTTGGTTAGTTAGCCCATCTGTGGCAGGTACCGAGCTCCCTGGTTACGTAAAGTCACGGCTATAGTTGTTTTTGAGCCAATATCTCTTTCCTTTGTGCGGTAGGATATTCGCTCGTCAGGGTACGAAAATGTTAGTAAATTCAACAAGGCTCTAATACACGCTCTGAATACACAAAATCAAAATCTCAGCACAAAAAGACAGCACATAATTTCTTAGGTTTTAATTTACTTCTCTATCTGTGTTGTTTACAGTATGAAACGATTTTGGTTAAATACATAAACAATGCACATGTTATAAAAAATGCATAAAAATGAACAAAATAATAGGAACTTGCATAAATTGAACTCTCAAAAACAAAATAATAATTAATCCACTAACCTGTACGTTCCTTGCACAGACACTAATAACAAATTTGATTGAACAATTAATTTTAATGCAAAATAGGAATGAAAATTGAATAATCAATAATTACAGACGCGCCACAAGCGTCTAAGGGCCCAGAGCATTTTCTTCTGTCGTCTAGTTGCGTATTCTTCTGTGTCCCGTTCGCTTCGGTACCTTCGTGTTTCTGTGGGGCGCTCGAACGCGGCGGTTACATGGTTGCAACATTTTACTTTTATTCAGTAAACGTTTTTTAAAAGTAAAAATTTTTAGAAATAATATTTTAAATAGATGGTTTTCCTCATGTTGAACACTCTTAAGATTGATGTGTATCTGATAGTAAGGTGACCAAACTATGCTTGAAAGTTCAAGAACGGATCTGACTAGTGATGCGTAAAGAATTTTGATGGGGCGTATACTTGTGAAGTCCCTAGTAGCACCCACCCAACTTTCTATCAGCCCTGCCAAATAGGTAGGTACCACTTCAAAATACTCGGGAAACTATAACTTAGTATCTAGATAGACACCAAGATATTTAATGACAGAAACTTCAGAGAAGCAATACTGAAAAGGAACCTTACGGGTGAGTCTACTAAATCTTATACTAATTATATTTTTCTTTCAGTAAATCTTGTTTTTAAAAATTATTTACTAAGAGTTACAACAAAAAATACTAGATTCTAAATTGCTGCGGCGAAAGCCGAGAACAAAAGAATCTTGGATGATAGAAGGCTCTGCGCGCCGTATTTATACTAAAATACTACTGACGGTTAAAATCGTGTGGGCGAAACCTTGATATGACGGTACTTTTCCAGGCAGTACCGCTTACTCAGCATATTTATAATATCGCGGGCTTTTACAGTGGCGTATGCTTATATTTGATATTGGAAAGGAGAAATATTAATATAATAACAACATAGGGTTTTATAATATAAGTTATATGTTCTCAACATTGATAAGTAAGTTATATAACATAACTTACTTATCAATGTTGAGGTGCATGTCATTAAGCTGACACCAATCATAAACAGTGTTAGGATCGTTTTGGAGAATAAGTATATCTTGAGTTGACGTCATCTGATTATACAACTTCAAGTCATCAGCGTAAAAAATTTGAGGAGAGCGAAGATCCTGAATCATTGATAAATATGTTAAATAGAAGGGGACCCAAGTGAGAGCCTTGGGGTATTCCAAAGAATGCATGGAAAAGAGAAGAAAGATAGTCATCGATCTTGACTTGTTGCATTCTGTTAGTAAGGTTAGATTTCATCCATGAAAGTAAAGATCCAGAAACGCTATGACTTGAGAGCTTTGAAAGAAAGGATGTTATGGTTTACCTTATTAAAAAATTTACTGAAGTCAGTATGTAGGTATTACATGAGTTTCTGCATTATTATCATGTGACGAAAGTTTAAAGCATTGATTTGCACTCTATAGCTGGAACCTTTGCTGGCCAGCTAGTTGCAGACTATTGGATGCTCGAAAGCTTCTTGATTCATTCCAAATTCAGGGTTGCAGTAAGTATAACTGGAGCTTATTTTCAAGTTTAAGTAGCTTCGTCTGTAAATATTTCCAGTTCTTTTAGCTTCATATCATAAACAGCAGATGCCAGTGAGTTGGGCATTATTAATTTCCAAAAGAGTATGTATCGCCTGCAGCAATGTTTGACTTTTCCAGTAAAGAAAAAGGGGCTTTGAGTTTCACTAATAAGTACCTATTTTGTTAAAAATTCTGGACTTGGCAAAATTATTATCATGATATATACCTACCTACGTGTAAAGTACATAAAAATATTATCCAGCAAAATAGTAACAACTGTAGATGGAAAATAAAAAATTTAACGAGACGAATCTCGAGTCCGCACCTGTAAAAATTATTATATGGCCGACAATAAAACCCGATATATAAAACCACCACACAAAGCGAGTAAATTATTTTTAAATAAGATTATCTGCTCTGTCTGAAAATAATAAACAAGACATTGTGATAACAAATTACGGAAAAATGTCGGAAGAATCCGGAATTAAATTTTACACGTTGGAAGACGTTAAAGTTCATAATGGTAAAGGCAAAGGCGACTCTAGTGTTTGGATTATTTATAGGGATTGTGTTTATGATGTGACTGATTATTTGGAAGATGTAAGTAGAATTTTTTCTATTAAAAAAAGTTTAATCAGGTGAACACTTTTTGGAAAAGTTTGAGAAGGGATTCTTCTCAAACTTGAAGAGATAGATGCGCTTCTGGTTTACATCACATTTTAAATTTGTTTTTATTTTGCGCTATCATGGTCAATGGATTTTGGTTGCTGGTTGAGAATAAGCCCAAAAGTGAAGCCATTTTTAAATTAACAAAGTTTTAACTTGGTAAATTTGTCAGAATGGACTTTTTGATTGACTCAGTAACTTTAGTTTTCAAGAAAATAAAGAACCTCTTCTATAGGTGAGTATATAGATTGATCCATTTGACAAAATATTTTCTATTCTCAACCAATCAACGTTGAAGCCTCCGTTCACTAAAAGCCGTCCCAAATAGTTTTCTAATCGGAAAGCGAATTAAATTAAGCATCAGGAATTAAGTCATATTGTCTCAATAAATCATGGATTAATAATGAATAACGAAAATATTTGTTATCGTCATTAGAAGAATGATATATTAATTTTATTTAATATTTTTTAACAGTGTTGAGAATTTAGAAACCAAAATAATTTTTATTCCTTGCATAATGCATGTAGTTGACCTCATCGAACAAAATGGGACTTTCCCAATGGTGGTTCATGGATTTAGCTGATAGTGTTTATTTTTAATCAAAATAATGCAATAATTTATTTAATCTGAGAAACTGGGAAAGTCCCCTTTTTTGAATAATTATTACAGTACCGTATCGAAGAATTTTTAAATACAACAAACATAACAATTATCATTGTGTAAATTTAGAACAATTTTAACAAAATTTAATAAAACTGAATAAATTTTTTGGTAAATATTAATCAAAATTACATTTTTCTGTTTCAATTTTCAGCATCCTGGCGGTGGAGACCTCATAATGGAACATGCAGGAAAAAATTGCACTAGAGCCTTTGACGATTTTGGTCATTCTTCGGACGCCAAAAGAAAATTAAAAGAATTTAAAATAGGAGAAATCGTAGAGGTGAGCAAAGTTGTTTGTCTGAACATTAAATGCACTGAACAAAAATTCGTTTTCTAGGAACAACGAAAAGGTGCAAAGAAAAAGACGATAACAGTTAAAACAGATCCAGCAGAAAAGCCACATCAAAGGTAAATTACCCACTTGTGATTTAACATGCGGTAATTCTATTATTTTTTTTTTAAATAATTTTTATTTGTTTTTAGGAGTTGCTTCTCAATCATCAGTTGCGGCTTCTGCGGATAAAATAACTTTATTTTATAATTTCTTATTCCAATGTTTTAGTAATCCCAACTGTGATTTACTTATTTTATTTTAGATTTAATACCGTTAAATTACATTGTACATTTTAGATTTTAGACACTAGAAACTGTTTAAAATAGAAATATTTTTACATCAAACATTCAAAGTTTAAGGCACCTATTTTTAGATTTTTTTTAAATTTTTTGAGTAGTTACTTTATCTGAAGATTAATGTTATTCTTTCAAGTATTTGTATCCTTCCTCACGTATTAAGATATAGGACAATGACGTCTACTTATGGGTAGGTACTTATTATTTGCTTTAGATTTAATTATTATTGATACATTTTCATTATATTTTATCAAACATATTAATGAAGATAGATAAAATCACTAGATACACAATAAAAAAGATTAGCCTTGAACCCTATAATACCTATAAATAATCTCGATCTCGAGATGTCATTATGAATTTCTATAAGAAATACATAGTTTTGAATTGTGCAATATATATATAGTTATCAATTGTTATCATTATAATAAAATTTTGATATATTTTTACTCAACAAGTATTTTTTTGCGACAAATAATTTCCTTATTTCCTATAGACAGATTGCGCCAACATGTTCACGTACTTACGTTAGGAATGACTAAAACTTTATTGAATAATCTAGAGCATCTGTAAAAGTAAACATGTTTTGATAAAACTGAAAGACTAAAAATAGTCACCAAAAAATAGTCGATTCGACTATTAAAAAAGCTTCTATTGATTATGTGGTCATAGGTATAAACATAAGTATAGTTGTTACTACTGGAAGTTATCAGAATACGTGCTGCAGATTTCGAAAAAATATACAATATAATTTTTTAAAAAAGTACTTGTACTGGTACTTAAATTTGGCAATTTATTTTGAGTACTACTTACTATACTTAAAAATGTACTGATAATTTGAATATAGGTACCTACTTAAGTAGTTTTCAATTATTTAAAATATTATTACATAAATCCACTCGGATGTGTCGCGTTGTCTTTATTATTTACTTACTTTTTACTTGTCGGTATTCTCAGTGTTAATTAATTATTTATATGTCATTAATAATTTCTTTTATTGATTCAGATATACCGGGTGACAATGAAACTACTACCCACGACGGCATTTGTTAACGGCTCGAGATAGAAATATGCAATTCCGTACGTCGATAGGGTTGAAAATTTTTAACAATTTTAACATAAAAACAACTGAATGGCTTTTCCGGTCTCACCGGAAATGGCATTGACTTTGTTATTTTAAATGGGACACCCTGTATATTATCTGTTTTTTGGACTCTCTGAACAATTCTCAATAACTTTTGTCTAACATACCCTATGTCAAAAATTGATAGTTTTCAAAATAGAGTGGCTCAAAAATATGTCGTAATTCCTATTGGTTTGTATTTTACGTAAAAACTGAATATGCCAGAACAAAAAAAATCATGCTTATTTGCTCCTTAGTCGAAGGGGTATCCGTTAAATGATAAAAGAGAAGAATTAATGCAAGTTAAGAAAAACGCGTTTTTCGAAAATGAATGTTTTAGTTTTTGATCGGACCCTGTACGAAAATGGTTCAACTTATGGAAATGAAACTTCCACTACCCAATCCTACTTTTTTATCCTTTATCCAAATATGACAAATTCAACCTTCATAGACACCTGCAAGATTAAAAATTTGATAACCTACTACACTAACAACTTGAAGTTAGTGCGAAAACCAATATTACTTACTTAAGATTATATCTGTGTCTCTTTCTTTCTTTGCCTTGAAACGTAACGAACGGTCTTTTATTGCCCGAGTCTCCGTCGTCTGACAGACCAGTTTTTGTTCGGAAATTCCTTTTTGTTTCTTGAATGAGCAAGAATGCCTGCCTCTTTAATGGCTCCCGTGCGATACTTTATTTTTGCATTTTCGTTCGCGGTTCACACATAACATTATAGAGGGACTCTTAAGGGACAAGAAAAAAAAAACAAAGGTTTCTTTCTATTCAAGACATTTTCTATTAAGGGGGTCACTACATTTAGAGGCGCCATCCAAAAATAATTATTTATATCCGGTTGTGTGTAGTACCTATTTGTTTGGTCACAACAGGTAAAAATTTCATTATCGCGGTCCGAAAATCTCGCTTTCTAAGAACCGGAGGTGGATTTTTATTTTAGTTTTCGGGCCCCCCCCCGTGAATCAGAGAATTATTTTCTGGTCCTCTCTCTATTGTTGGCCGTTTAATTTATGGGGCCCTAATTCTCGAAATTGACTTGTTTGAGATTTTTGTGGCGGGCACTAGAAACTACCAAAAGTTCCATTAAAGCCCCAAGAAAAAACATTGAAAATATGGGCCTTTTTTTTAGGGCTTGGCCCCTTCAAAACCTGTCAATTTTGAGTTTCAATTGTACTATAAACAACCTTGTACAAAATAAAGTGCATTTTTTGATGGGTCTGCCAGTGACGTCATAATCTTGCGAAATGCAATTTTAATCGATTCCAGGCGCTTGAAAATCGACAAACTCCATTTTGTATTGTTTGATTGCAAATCAGTTCAGAGTAGGAATTTGTCAAGGATAATACACACTTTCACAGGATAGCCTATTTTATAAAACCTATTTTTAAGAAATCTCTCCCAACCAAATCAAATCACCCATTGTGACGTAAACAGCATGTTATTTACCGGCTTGACATAAGCTGTTTCAAAAACTAGTTATAACGTTGGAAATGGTGACATACCAATGTAGCGACGATTAGGGTGAATTCTCATGAGCGTAAGTTGACATTTCTGACGTAATCACGTATAACCTATTTTCGGCCTGTCAGACTTGTATAACTCCGGCCCTTCGGACTCGCAATACTCCGGCCCTTACTTTTACTAACTTGCATTAATTCTTCTCTTTTAGCATATATTTAACGGATACCCTTTCGACTAAGGAGCAAATAACCATGATTTTTTTTATTCTGGCATATTCAGTTTTTACGTAAAATACTAACAAATAGGAATTACGACATATTTTTGGGCCACCCTATTTTGAAAACTATCAATTTTTGACATAGGGTATGTTAGACAAAAGTTATTTAGAATTGTTCAGAGAGTCCAAAAAACTGATAATATACAGGGCGTCCCATTTAAAATAACAAAGTCAATGCCTTTTCCGGTGAAACCCGAAAAGACATTCAATTGTTTTTATATCAAAATTGTTCACAATTTTCAACCCTCAACACACCGAGTTGCATATTTCTATCTCGATCCGTTAAGAAATACCGGCATGGGTAGTAGTTTCATTGTCACCCGGTATACGTTTTTAACGTTGAATAAGGATAAAAACCAGTGATGGTAACACGTAGGGAATTTCCCTACATGTAGGGAAAAATTGATGTTTTTTTTCTGGTGTAGGGAAAAGGGACAGAAATTCGTAAATTGTGAAAATGTAGGGAAATTCAGAGATTAGTCGAATATTGTGGAAAAAAAAATTAAAAACGAAGAATTCGAAGAAATGATATTTGTTAAATACGGCTTTCCGATTATCGATCGTACTCTTACTGCTCACGAGAGGAGACAACCGAGACATCCCTAGTACCTATATCTTTCCTATTTCCATTCAAGCCACATTACTGCAGAATACCTCTCCCTTTTTTCAATAGGTATATAAGTTGAAAAAGGAAAACGGATAACTTCTAAAAGATGAGCACTGGCAACGTAGCAACAAACTTTTGACTTTCTTGTTAATTAGGCTCTCTAAACCACGTGATTTTTCAATATGGCGACTAAGGAAAATTTGACTTTTGTACAGTAGTCAATAGATGGCGCCAGGTATTTTGTTTGTTCTGCAATTTCATGCAGCCAACTGAGTCAACCAACAGCGAATTCTATTGGTAAAACTAGTGCAGAAAAAATGTGTTTTTATCTCGTTCTTATATAAGCTGTTTAGAAAAAGACTCGAATACACTCAGGGCGCAGTAACCCTTCCAATAGAATTCGCTATTAATTGAATTAAAGCGTAGGGAAAATTGTAGGGATTTTTTTTTTGGTTGGTAGGGGAAAGTAGGGATTTTTTTTTTGTCTGAAAAGGGGAATCGTGAAAAAAATGTTACCATCACTGATAAAAACTATCAGTAGGTACCTACCTAAGTACCTACCTACTTGAAGTAGATTTTAATAGTTTAGGTACTCGCATCGAATATGTAGGTACCATCAGGACATTCATATTTTTCCTATGCCCAGGCTCTTGAATATACATGTATAAAAATTGAGCTGGAAAAACTTAACTAAGGGATAGAGAGAAGAAATTGAAGAAAAATTGAGAAAAAAATTGGTAGACAAGTACCTATTTTATTGTTTCTATTCCAAGTTCCTAAATTTTCTTTATTTAGAGAAATTTAGAAGAAAACAAAAATTCAAGAGCCGGGAATAAACAAAAATTAGAGACGAAAAAACTGAGAATAAAATAGAGAAGAAATATAGAAAAATTGTGAAAAAAATGGTAGATAACCCAAACCCAGACAGCACAGAAACATCTCAAAACATCCCTAGATGTCCACAAACCACATTCGAGACGTCATTTAGACGTTAAAAACATCTTGAAAGACGTCGTATGTTACAAAACCCAATAACCCTTTTCACGTGGCTCCGGTTTAACAAACCGCAACATACCGCTCAAATTCGAGTGGTAGGTATCCATCACGTTACTTCGTAACCGGGTTAGAAAACGGTATGTCATTTCTCTAACCGTTTTGTAACCCGGTTAGTTAAACCGGAGCCACGTGAAAAGAACTAATGTCTTTCAAACGTCTGCCTAAAAACGTATTTATGACATTTTTCCAAGACGTTCTAAAGACGTCTTCAACGAGCAAGCATAATACCATTTAATACACACTACTACTACAGGATAGTCTATCCTCATAAGGCCTGTGTAGAATAAATCTGAAGTCCCAAACCACGCTAAAGTACCAGTGATGACGTGGCAGTTTTCGTTTCTCGTCTTGACGTACGGTATTTGCACCACAGACTATGATTCCGGTGGCTTTTGCCCCATGCATACTTCGTTTTAGTACATTAATTTACATTCTAAAACGACCCTTTTTCAGATCTCGTTTGCATCTTGCTCTTTGTTGTTAATCAAAATTAATTCTTTATCATAAATGTACAGGGTGTCCCAGGGAAAGGAGTCCACCCCGATTTATTCGATTTGAAATGAAAATCTGGAAAAACGCTCGGACACGCCGATTTTCGATTTGAGGAGGAAATATTTTTCAGTTTTTTTCATCCCCGTAGCTTCAACCCCCCAAATTTGAACAGGGGATAGGGGTCTTGTCATACCTCTTTTTAAAGGTCTCATCGAGTTCTTTATGGCCTTATAATTTCGTCTTATAATTTTCATCCATAACGAAATAACAGCTTGTCCAAGTCTTGGAAATAGGCTATTGTTTTAGTAGGAGTAAAAGCGGCCTTACCTCCCCTAATAAAAATACGAGTAAAACTACCTACAACTTACAATTCTCGCGTAAACCTCATTACTAATAATAATTTTAAAAAATCAATTTCAAGTATTTTTATTAAGGGAGGTGAGTATTGCTTTTAATCCCACTAAAACAATAGTATATATCCAAGATTTTGACATGCTGTCATTTCGTTACGGATGAAAATAATGAGACGAAATTCTAGGATCATAAAGAACTCAATGAGACCTTCAAAAAGAGGTATGACACGACCCCTATCCCCTATTCAAATTTGAGGGGTTGTTCTCTCCTTAGCTAAGGGGTTGAAACTACGGGGATGAAAAAAACTGAAAAATAGTTCTCCCTCAAATCAAGAATAGACGTGTCCGAGCGTTTTTCCAGATTCTCATCAAAAATCGACGTGTCTGAGCGTTTTTCCAGATTCTCATCCCAAATCCAATAAATCGGGGTGGACTGTTTTCTCTGGGAGTCCTGGGACACCCTGACAACTTAGTTGATGACGTCAACAATGGTGCCACACCATATGACCGCATTCCCAAAAACGTGGCCGTTGAGCAATTCTGTGTAATAGTGTGTATCAGCCTTGTTCAACGAGATGTCTAAACGTCTTTCAATTCTCTTTTTTTTTACATAAACCAAGCATAAACCCTATTCACTTTCAGGCCCGATTGTACCAAATTAACTCAGTTGTCTTTCACAAGGAGAAAGGTCATAACATAGCCAACAAAATCGAACGTGATTGAACCATGTTTTTTTCATTTTACCATTTTGATATTTTTGAAAATTTTCAAGATCAGAAATAACGCCTATGGGCCGGTTTCTCAATCTGGTTTGATTTAAATTCCAGGGTAAGCGTGTCCAGTTGCTATGTTTACCCTGGAGTTATACTTAACCCGGGAGTGACTTGCTAATATTTAGTTATATTCTTTTAACACCTAGGAGGAGCTCCGGAACAGCTCCGAGCGTTACGCGCTTATTCCTTTCGAAAAGTGTTTCTTGCACCCGAAGTGCTCAAGCCCAAACTTTAAACTTTTTAAATGCACGAAAACCAGCGCATCTGTTCCTTTCAAATCGGGGTCGACAAACACCGGAGCGAGTAGCTCTAGTGTTCTAAACTCTTGAAAGAAATACAACTAAAGTCTGTTTTTTTTTTAAAGATAATTCCCCAAGTCAAAAATTTAGTAACTATTTTGGCAACACAAGCCTTTTCTACATAAAAAAATTGAAGGCATTGACAATTTTACATTGTATTGCCCAATACATAATGTCATTTTGACTTTTATCTTTAAAAAAAAAACAGATTTTATTAAGAACAGGGATTCGAACCGGAACGATATGGAACCGAAAACCGGAACGGAACCTTTTTTTGCGGACCGGAACCGGAACAAAACCCGTATTTCATAGAAATGTTGTAAGGCAGGCAGAGCTGGAACCGATAAAAATTAATCGGTTCTTACCTGTATTTTTCGGTTTCAAGACTATTTTTCAATTGTAATAAAAAGTGGTGGTTCTAGGTCCACAAAACACGTATTAAGCGTTAAAACATCTAGAAACCCTTTATTTTTTCTGATAAATCGAAAACAAAAAAACGAAATTAGCGAAGCTAGCAAAACGACCCCCTGCGGCGAGAGTACCGCTTGTGACGTCACTGTGCGGAGCGAAAAATAAAAATCAGCTGGCGCGTTGGCGAGAAACTTATTGTGTTGCTGACTGTTGCTTTATCCCAAGAAGCTTCATTCACTCCAATTATTTGTGTTTGTGTAATGATGGGAGACTCTAACAAAGTTGAACCGAGTCGAAAAGAGTGGTATCTACGTGCGTGTTTTTCTACGAGGTGCGAAAATGTGCTACTTTTCGCACGCAAATCGTTGCGTGAAGACGCGTTTTTCACACGATCATAGAAAAAATGAGCCTGACACGAGCATAAAGTATGTTTTCTGCACTTGCGGCTTGCACGAATTCCGCTGGCTCGTCGTTCGTGCAAATGCCGTTGAGTGCAAGAAAGTTATACTTTCCGCCCTTACAGGTAAATAACTATATATCATTGTTCAAATGCAACTATACCTACATCTAATAACGTCTGTTTTACTTCTACACCAATGGACTGGAGCTGATTCAAGTCGACACTTGACCAAACATTCTGATACCATAGTAGATAATGAAATAAACAAAAAAATAATAGATAACGTCCACAGTTGGCAGATTATGTGAATCGGCCTTTTGAAAACCTTCCTTCATTTTAGCCATAGTACCTTTTCTACCTTAATTTCGATAAACCCTATTACACAGAGATCGACATGAAGGAGATAGCACTAGCAGCAATACCAGAATACTTGTTAATCGTTAAACAGACTCTCTCGTTAAATTAAAACCGAACCATAATAAAAATAACGATAATATTAATATCAATATTCTTTATTGTCAACAAAAATCGCAAAAGCAACGTCACAAGAGGCTGATCCAAGTAGCTAGTAACGCCACTGTACTTGCGCGTGCTAAATCATTACGCATTGTGACGTCAGACAGCGTTTCGTGCGTTTAAACGAATATCAATATTTCGTCTCCATTTTTCTCATAGAAAGAATTTTCTGATTTTCGTAAAATTTTGTAGATTTACTTATGAAACGGTGCTTAATAATTTGATGATGGTTAAACGGATTTTTTTTATTTTGTGAACATTCCTATTGCTCATCGGTTTCGATTTTTGGAATTAAGTTCATATGGTTTTGAAATGTTGCCGACGTCATCTGGTCTATTCCCACAGGAGTCTCTGACAGGTTGCATACTGTCAGAGACTCCTGTGGGAACAGACCTATCAACGGAGTCGTTAGCGGTTTGTGCCAGCGGTCGTAGTTAAGAATATACATTTATAATGAGAATATTCTTTAATTTTGATTAACAATATTAACATAATAGGCAACAGGAAGATGCAAACGAGATCTAAGCAAGGGTTGTTTTGAATATTAAATAATGTACCTACTAAAACCAAATATGCATTAAGGCAAAAATCAGCGCGATCATAACCTGTGGTGCAAGCACCCTAGGTCAAGGCGAGAAACTTGAACTTTATCATTAATAATAATAATTATTATTAGATATTTGTGAAAAACTATACCGGTATGAACCGTTAAAACTGAAATTATTGGTCATTGGTCCGAACCGAATCGAAATATTTCTTTTAGAACCGGAACCGTAACGGAACTGATATTTGTAATGACGCTGTGGACCGGAACTAGAACGAAACCGATGTTTCATTTCTGTCCGGATCTCTGATTGAGAAACCAGCCCTATGCGATGTAAAGATAGCGATTATTCATATTTTTAAATACATAAAATCTGTTTTTTTTTTTTTAAGATAAAAGTCAAAATGACAATATGTTGGCAATACAATGTAAAATTGTCAATCTTTCAATTTTTTTATGTAGAAAAGGCTTGTCTGCTAACATAGTTACTAAATTTTTGACTTGGGGAATTATCTTTAAAAAAAAAACAGACTTTAACAATTTTATAAGTTTTGCACCGTTTGCACTCGGTGCAAAAACTGCCGCACCATTTTTTCTATATGGCATTCGAAAGCCTGCAAGAACATCGACTGTGGCTGTCAGATTGTTAAATTTGCCATAAAACATGGCACTACAGACGACACATCTAAAAATTCCTATGTTTATTCGCAGTATCTTTCATAGAACGCGAAGAACTTGTACCAAGATGTATGGCACGGCGCCTGAAATAATTGCACTGTTCGGAGTGCACTCAGTGTAATTCAGTACAGGGCCTACTATAAAAAAAACGCATTCTTGTGTAATATTTGTACCTGCTTAACTTGCTCCAAGATTTCAATCGTGTTTTATAAAGAAAGATAAAAAACAAACAGCTGGTGATCGGGTTTTAATCGGATCAGCGTTTCCGAAAACGCCTTGTGTCAAGGATGTAGCTAACTTCACTCCACTTCATTCATTGCAATCGTCAAATGTCAATGTGTCATTCTTCTTTTCTTGTTACATTGTGACACACGTTTTCCCAAAAGGTAAGTGTGCGAGTTTTTTATGTTTTCTTACAATAAAATGGATCAAATCATGTAAAAAATTGCATAAATATGTGCTTTGATAAGGGCTTTATGTGATAGATTAAAAGCGTTTGCCGTTTTTCTCAAATTCGGCCACAAAATCGAATTTTGAGATTTTCTAGGTTATGTCACTAAAAAAAATTAAATTATTTCTCTTCAATGCCTTGGAAATAATTTTTGTTATTGGCCTTCTTGTTTCAGGATAGTTCACAATGCAAATTTTCGTGAAAACCCTCACGGGCAAGACCATCACCCTCGAGGTCGAGCCATCCGACACCATCGAAAATGTCAAAGCCAAGATCCAGGACAAAGAGGGCATTCCTCCAGACCAGCAACGTCTGATCTTCGCCGGTAAACAACTCGAAGATGGTCGCACCCTCTCCGACTACAACATCCAGAAGGAATCCACCCTTCACTTGGTGCTCAGACTTAGAGGAGGTATCATTGAACCTTCTCTACGTCTCTTGGCTCAAAAGTACAATTGCGACAAGATGATTTGCCGTAAGTGCTACGCCAGGTTGCACCCAAGAGCAACCAACTGCCGCAAGACCAAGTGTGGACACACCAACAACTTGCGCCCCAAGAAGAAGTTGAAGTAGATGAGTTTTTTTTGGGTGGAAGGAAGTGGTTCTCTTACTTTACAAATTCTATTTAAAATCTCCTTTTGTAAGAGAATGTTTGATTTAATTTAAAATAAAGGGTTGACTAATGTAGTTTTGAAGTTTTATTTGCAATAGTTGTTTTCCCTTCAAGAGTTTAAAACACTAGAGCTATTCGCTTCTTGCTTCAGTGTTCCTTGTACAAGACAAAACACGTTCCGTGCGCGTAACGCCCCGGAGCTGTTCTAGAGCTCCTCCTAGGTGTGAAAGGAATACAACTATTAAGACCTACATTGAAAAGAACAAAACTTTTAAGTTTTTCAATGAATATTAACGAAGCCCCAAATATTGATTGTTTGAAACATAGTTCTAAAACAGATTCGCCATTCTGTCAACAATGGAACAATGTAATAAAAAAGCGAAAACGCCTCTTCTCACTGCTTCATTTTATTTTTGACAGATTGTCATTCTTGTCAGTAAACAACATTTTTCAAAACAATTCAAATTTTCTTTTGGAAAAACGTGTATTTTCTTATAATATAAAAGGAAAATCATGGCAGAAACAATGAAACAGACGGTTGCGACCATGCTCAGCGGTATAGAAAGGTAAAATACGCTTTTCTATTCAAATAACGCTAACAAGACGCACCCATAACCTATAAGGGCCCCTTTTATCCATATTTTATGTCTGGTAATTTTCAGATACAATCCAGACAATTTACCAACCCTGGAACGTTATGTGGAAATGCAATCGAAAGAAAACACTTACGATTTGGAAGCTAATCTGGCCGTATTAAAATTGTACCAGTTCAATCCTCACAGTTTCAATATCGAGATTGCCTGTCAGATTTTGTTGAAGGCCCTCACCAATTTGCCCCACACCGATTTCATTTTGTGCAAGTGTTTGCTGACTGAGAAACAGGTAAGAATTTTTAGCGAGATTTTTTGTTTCTTGTTTTTCAATTTTCATCAGGGTTGCCAGATGGTTATAACTAATTTCCCCCAAAGGATTTCAAAAATACCCCAAAAATCACTGTTTGTCAACTAAAATCCCCCAAATAAATGTAGATTTATTCTCGACTCATACTTGCAAAAAAAAAAGCCAAATTCGTTGAATATTTTAAAATAAAACTCATAGGTATCATCTTTCTTGTCCAGGGCTAAGATTCTAAAATCACGACTCGATAACGATACCCGCCTTGTCTTCTCGAAAGGTATAATTCCAATGAGATTTCTAACCTAGAATCATCGGAAAAATCGTCTCGTTGTCGAGTCGTATGTCGAATCGTGATTTTAGAATCCCCAGGCAGCTTCATATTGGTTGCTTTGTAGTTGGTAAACTTTGGTAGTTGTTGAAGTAATATAATAATCCCAATGATGCCAACTTTCAATAAAGTACCAACCCCTGACTCTAGGATCAAGAGAGGGGGAGGATGTTGCATTTTTGTTTATAGGCAGTTACACACGGGCGTGGATGTCTTAAAACATGTACACACATACATGAACGCGCAACCAAAAACATCAATGTGTATGCAAAATACCGTCGCGTTTTTGAATGTGGAATCGCTAGAAATTTTGTATGAACACTAGGATTACTCTAGCAAGAATAGCAAGACTGCAGTTTTGTGCGAGCGTCTGTACAAACGCGACATGCACGTTGTCGTTTGCACGTTGATGTATGCACGTATATGTATTAAGCCATCCACGCCCGTGTGTAACCGCCTTATGATGGAAATAAAATTTATCCCTACAGATCTTAAATTTTCTGAAAGTAACTGCATCATTGTGACTATCCACATGAATAAGTTTAACACCACTATAAACTGTATATACAAAGCGTTGAACAGCAATCAGCAGGTACAATCGTCCAGCTTTCTGAGCTAAGCAATATAATTGCAAATCAAAGGAACCAACTACGTATAAATTATGTGAATTTATGCAAAACTCAGGCCAAGTGTATACCTACCTGGCTGGGGACAAACTAAATTTTTCATAAGAATACTATTAACTTGATTAGCTTGTTGTTGATCCCTTAGGCCCAGTTGTACAATCTCAGTTCAAAACAAAGTTCAACTGAACTCGACTGGTACTTGAGCTTTCCCATTTAAAATACATTGCTGTCAGCTATTAATCAAATTCTATCATTTTTGACAGCAATGCATTTCAAATGGGGAAGTTCAAGTACCAGTCGAGTTCAGCTGAACTCTGTTTTCAACCAAGATTATACAACTGGGCCTTAATAGTGATTGGTTGAGGTTTTGTTTGAGATTGGATCGAAATAAAACAACAGAAAAGGAGGCATGACCCCTGAAAAAACATCACCCTGTAGATTCTGGCAAATGTTTGACATGTGCAATCATTTAGCGCTTATTGCGTAACCTACATTCCAAATTTGAGCTAAATCCCTCAAAAATTGCAGGAGCTATAAAGAAAAAACTAAAAAAATATTAAAATTTCAACACCCTGTAGATCGGTAACAAAGCGTTTGCGGACCTATGTATCAGCAAACAGATTACACATGAGAGTCTTAATTTTAGTCTTAATCCCCCTAACATTCTGATAATAAATACTTAGTACCGGTTTCTTGGCTGCTGATGATACTGAAAATTTGACTACACATTTGATTTTCTTGGGATGTTGAACTTAAATTCCCTAAATACTGCTCCCAGAGGCCAAAAATTGTCATGAATTATATTGTTAAAATACCTATCTTCTATACCTATCTTAAAAGATTTCATTCTGCTATCAGATCTTATTTCTTTAACAACTACTTCAGACTCACTAGCACCCAGATTGCTGAATATATCCATTTTTTGGTTGAGAACGGTACAGTTTTGAGCTGATTTGTAATGTTAGTCCTCACTCCTCACTGATAAATTATGTAAATTCAATTGTTCTGATTACCTAAGTTTCTAGCAAATCTTTGATGACTTTGGATAATAATAGGCCGAGTCGGCCGAGTTTGTGAGTTACCTAACATGTAAAATTGCTCATTCCGATTAGCGGATTGGTCAGCAATTAAATTGTTCGCAAGAAATGAATTGCTAATGGCGTTGCTTACAATTTCTGACGATATACCAGAGTTTTTATTTTTATTTGCATTTGAATTCTCTAACCCAACATTGACAAATGACAAATTTCGGTAATAATCAATAATAGATGGTAATGACCATCACCAGCAATATGTGGTAATAAAGTATGGAAATGGTAATAGGTGTACACATTTTGATGGGTGGATGCCAATTCAGCTTGGCTATTTGTGAGGGTGTTAGGTCAGCTTCTATGTAAATGTGATGATCGTTTATTCTCTCTTCTGTTTCTCAAAACGTTATGAACAGACTGTCTGTCGTGAAGAATGACTTTCATGTGCTTGACAACCGCTTCACATGCGTACATGCCTCGCTGAAAACTTTTGAAAGAGATGTGTCATCATCACCAACATTGAGGCTATAGTTGAAAACTATAATATTGTTAGCACGTTCCTGCCTCTAAGGTACCTCAGATAATATTTCTTCATTAGCGGAGTATGGAATGGCATAAATAACTGTGGTAGCGCTCTGCTCTATTCTTGTGAGTTTCTCATCAAGTTTTATTATTTTTTCAATGGTATCGCTATTTCCCTGTTTAGTCTGACTACAAGAATTCTCCACTACTACTTCGCTTCTCTAACACTTCAAATCGCTCCTGAGTCTTCAAGCATTATCAAGCACTAGTAATCCTGAGGGAATTAGTATCATGGAATTATATCTAACATCTGCTTGAAATATTTCTCTAACACATCGGCGTTCATGTGCTCGTGATAGTTTCCAGTGTGCTTAAATTGAAACATTAACAAGGCACGTTTGACAAATCCTTGTTCATTACGAATATAGACTTGTGATATTCTTATCCTGCCACATTTTTTTTACTGTATGTCCAGGGTTCATCCAGGATTCATTCAAATAATAGATTTTTCTTTTTTCATTTCGAAATGATTTATTCTTCCTTAAATATTTGCTCTATCAATCTATCAAAAGCGACTTTCGGGTATCCTTACCCCATACAAAATTTAATTTCTTAAATATTTTCCAAAGCTTGTCGTCTTAATCTTAATCGTTCTTAATGTAGTACTCGAGGTAGCACTGTATTTCTATATCAGACGTGACTCGACAGCAAGCTATTGAAACCTGAAGAATGTACCTTCAATAAAATCTGAGAACATTATAAGGAGTCTAATAGAAACCACCCAAGAAGCAATAAGAACGAAGAATAAAAATACCAACAAGAAATACTGGTGGAACGAGGAGATAGAGCTATTAGTCCAAGAGAAGAAACAAAAATATCTGAAATGGCTAACAACAAAAAATTAGCAAGACCTTGAAGCTTATAAAGACACACAAAAAATACTATGAATGTGCATCACTATAGCTAAGAACGAGTCATGGAATAAGAAATGTGAAGACATTAACACCTACATAGGAAAAAGGAAATGCTCAGAGGTATGTTAGAAACCCAGGAAAGAACTGAGGTAATATCCAGGTTATTAAGCCAAAGCAATGGATAGTCGATAGAACACTACAAGCACCTATTACAAGAAACTGGACTGGAATAATATATAAGATTCTCCAAAACATATTGAAGTACATGAAGAAGAAGTTGAGATATCTGAAGAAACTGTAAAAAAGACTGTTTAGAATCTTGAGTCAGGTAAAGCTATTAGCCCAAAAGGGATATACTCCAAAATGCTAGAATAAGGAACTGAGAAGCTCTTTAGAGGTCTCACGTGTATTATCAATAAATAATACAAAAATACTTTATTGAAAAATTAATTCTGAAAAACAGAAAAGGCAAAACTGACCATCTTAAGTGTAAGTGAACCGCTATTTGTCATGCTATTATGACTACGATACGTTCACGATCCTTCACATCTAACCTTTTCTAGATATTTTGTCAACTCTTGGATTCAGCGCGTCGTACAGAGAAACAACAGCAACTTTATGTTGCTGCTGTCTACCATCCACAACCAGATATTCTATCATTTGAAACTAGTGCTCTTATTCAGTATTCAGCAGACAATGCAGATATTAATGTCTACACAATAGACGGCCGCAACACGCTTCACATTATGGGGCTTATTGAAATGAAAACACCAAGCAGCGCCGTTGCTGCTGAAGAATCCATGAAGAAATATACGACGATGTAACGGTCAACCCATCGGTCGGTACCAAAATAAACGGCCTCTCGGTGAAACGGGAGCAGATGATGACGTAATCTTTACGGTCAGTTGCTGATGCGCAAAACGGTCCCTGCTCGGGCGCCAAATTTGTAACGGTTTTTCCTTGAGCTGTTGTGGCAGCTTAACAGTCGGTATTTATCTTTTGGTTAATCCAGCGGTAATCTCGGGCGCCACCCTCAAGATTATAGTGGTTGAGGGCCCACTAGCACCAGGTAGTTTGTTACAGTGGAGAAAGAAAAATCAGGGACCAATGCGCAGATAAAGGAATAAAACAACTATCGAAGAAATAAGCCCTAGGTTCAGCACCAGTCCCCGAAAGCTTCTAGCGACAAATTCGGAAACGCGTGTCTCAGCAGGGTAGAAAGTATAACTAATCCATGTCCGTACGTACAACTAGGACATACGGATTGCGGTTATCCTGCTGGAATTGTCTGTTCAGCCGAGACTTGTCCTGATCAGTCTACCCACTACCCAACTTTTTCCGGTACGGGGCGCGGTGTTTTGGAGCCAGAACTGAACGGTACAAATGTTAACACCAAATACATTATGGGCCGAAGCTGTGTTTAATGTTAACATTTGTACGTCCTGGAAGAGGGGACAGATTACGAGAATGAAGATCGCACATCCTACATCTAAAAGTCACAACAAGAAAGATCATGGATTAGGCCTACAGTAAAACTACAATGTAAAAAAAAAAACGCGCCTTGCATCTCACCTTCGGGGTGGTGTGCAAACAGGTGTTACCCTCTGTTTTTTTCAGAATTCTCCACTCTACAGGGGAATCCAAACATGTAATCAATTTTCCCAAAATGTTCCAAAAGTAAATAATATAAAACAACTTTCCTATAACCTCAAGGGCTATGTTTCGCAATTTGACTTAATTAATAAAAATAGTAACAAATTAATGTGTAATTAGTGATAAGAACATTGTGGAAATTTACTATTTTCAATAACTGCTCAAATATCAGTGTATTTACACTGATTCTGAGTCATTGATAAATAAATTAAAAATAGAAATCGAAACATCCTTTTTTTGTCTTGAGCTTTTACCCTTGTTGTCAAAGCCAAAGCTTGACTTAAGCCAGATTTATTTAGCTCTAATATTGCATTGAGACCAATAAAATTGTACAAAAAAGCTTAGATTTATGTATTTCTCCCTCAATTTAATTTTTTTTCCAGTTGGCTGCCGATCCAATTAATCAAATCATCTACCTTGCCGACATTTTGGAACAGTGCGATTTCCAACTTTTCTGGGTCCGTATCCGCACAACGCCAGAACTAACTCAGAAAATATCTGGCTTTCTGGACTCCATCAGGAAGTTCGTCTGTCACGTGGTAGGAATAACTTTCCAGACCATCGAAAAGAGCCATCTGATTCAACTGTTGGGCGAAATCGAGGAGAAGACTTTGCAAGTTTGGGTGAAAAAATATGGATGGAAAATGGAAGGCGAAAATTTGGTATTCATAGGCAATCAGGATGAGAATATTAAAACTAAAAATATCAGCGAAAAAATTGATTTTGATAGTGTTGGTCATATTATGGCTTCATGTCGTTAAATATAAATGATAATTTTTTTTTTGGATAAAATTTGTTTTATTGAAACTCTGGCATAAGGATCGAAATTGTTGGCAAGCACATTATTGGTTGCACCTTGTATTCGAAATTCAATATTGTTGTTTGGTAATAAAGCTGTAATAAACAACCGATAATATTATTAGGAACGATTTTTTGTTTGCCTATAGATAGCTGAAAACGTTGCAGCAAAATATGTGAATTATTGTCAACAACAAGATCATGAGTGTGTGTGTGTGTGAAAATTACGACTTTGTTTTTTGTAACCGTTAAGACGTAGGCAGTAGCCAAACATAAAACCCGAAAATAGCACAGACCGCGTCATTTTTGCACTTTATTACATAAAATCCCACAAGCCAACCGGAAAAGTTTCAGTGTTTAAAATAAGTTCGTTCAAGCATCAACGATGGCTTTCATGATGCCCGTAGTGAAAAACGATTGGGACATTTACAAATCGAATCGTAGCAGGAAAACTTCAGAGTGCAACACTGCTAGTACTACAGGAAGAGTGAGGAAAATTTCAGAGTGCAGATCTGAACTAGGCAGTACTTCTCATAGTACCACTGCGATGGTAAAGCATCATTCGGTGCCTGACAGGATAACTGGGTTTACAACTAGCAGGCCGAGGGCATCGTCTGAGAATTTCCAACAAAATCGTGCCAAAGTTCCTGTGCAGAAGAGCGCTTCTGAGAGCGACAAACAAGGCAAAGAGGGAACAAGTTGGTTGGAGAAATTGAAGAGGTTTATGAGGAATAGTAAAAATGATGAGGATGAAGAGGAACGTTGCAAGTCATAATTTGTGCTTTACAACACTTGTGTATGAAGCATTAATCATTGTTACAAATTATTATAATTAACTAGAAGTGATTGAGAAGGACAAAGTGAAACGTACTTATGTGTAGATGATATGGATTTTCTAAAACAGGGTGAGTCAAAAAATGAAAAACTATGGAATAGCTTCATAAAGAGAGATCAGATAACTAACTAGAGATTGATTTTGGACTTTTGAGTTGGTAATGAAGAAGAATCAATATCAACAGATGGCGCTGAGGTACAAAACTTAATTGTTAACATTTGTAGTAATTTTTCTTTAAATTCTGATATTTATAACGCTTTTGACTACAAATATTTCAATAATGATAAGATGGAACATGGAACATACTTAATGAATATCAGATGGGTATTTGCAATTTAGGATTTTTCTTATGGTTTATCTTTCGATATATACAGGGTGGTTCATTTTACTTGAGGTAGCATAATATTTCGAAAACGGAACCTGCATTTTTGAAAAAAAAAACAAGTTCAAATAGAAATTATTTGGTGTCATGGGGGGAAAAAAATTGCAAAACGCAAAACTGATTTTTACCTTTGACATCTCTTTCTTTTTTACAAATTATTGTACATTGGCGCACCCTGTATAATAATTTCATTGCGGAACATTTCTAAATAATATGTACATTGAAGGATTTTGTGTAGAACCGATGTACTGATTCAACTTGTTCTAAGCCAGAAAAAATCTGCAAATTTGATTGTACAGGGTGATCCATTACAATAAATCGTTGCCCCTTTAACTTTTTTGACGACACGTTAAATTTAACCGTGCATGTGAGTAGAAATTGGCAAGCAAAAATGTTCGCGTTTTCTCTGTGGCTGATAAAAATAAACCAATTTAACCCTATATTTTGGGACTCAAGGTAATAATGTATTTGACTAATTTTTCTCGTCCATAAAATTTCCGTGGAAAATGAACGATAAACATTTCCACTTGTTGATGTTTTTTATGTTTTCCATGTGTTAAAAAAAAAGAGAACATGAAAAACATCCAGAATCTAGAAGAGAACATAATGTGTCTATTCAGGTATTCTAAAGTCCAGGAATTTTCCGCAGAAAATGGAAAAGAGTTTTCTTAGAAATATTTTGTATTTTTCAAAGCAAATAGTTGCGAAAACTAATTTTCCCCCAGATTATCTATGAAAATGAACGAAAGCCCTTCCGCGGGAAAAAGTTTGTGTTTGGAGATAATAAAATGGAGAATAAACATCGATAGTTATCAATAGCTGAAACTTTGACTATCGATAGCTCTCGATAGTTTTTCTATGAAAAATATAGTTTTCTATACACATAACAAATAACGTTTACTACATACTACATATTTGCTAGAGCACATGCAGTTTTTTTTTCTGCACGATTCTTCTACAAGTACCATTGACCGTACCAATGAACTAATTAATACACAACAATTCTGTTGTTTTTGGAAATTATTAATCGGTTTTTGAATGTTTTAGAGCATTCTAAAATGGTTCTGAAGTTCCCAAGTTGTTCTATGATACGCTGCAGAATACTTTCGGAAATCCTGAATTGAATTTTAAGTGTTTTGAACTTTCCAAAAGGCTTATTCTTCTTTCTGAAGTGTTATGTAGCATTATGAATGGTTCCAGAAACTCCTAAATTAAATGAGAAACGAATTGTGTGGGAAGTTTTTGTAGACATCTGAAAACGATCCTTAGGTGTCCACAAACGACCTTCAAGACGTTTTTTAGACGTCGGCTTATGTGTTTAAGACATCTTTAAGACGTCGTAAGTTACAAAGCCCAATGTCTTTCAAACAAACGTCTGCCTGAAAACGTTTTTGTAACATTTTTCCATGATATTATAAAGACGTTTTCAACTCGATGTCTCAAAGACGTCTTTGAATCTCTTTTCAATACATAAATCAAATCATTATATATTCACTTTTAGGCCCAGTTGTACAGGGTGGGCATTTTATTAGGGACCTATGTCTTTTCTCAGAAACTACAGGGTGTACAAAAAAAAAAATACAAAAGTTTCTTGGTTTTAAGCAATGTTATCAATTATTTGCGTTTTATTTATACAGGGTGTCCCAAAAGTGCTGCACCGACTTCAATACTAAAATTTTAAATGGAACACCCTGTATGTTATTGCATATTTGGATTCTACGTAAAATTCTGAGCAGATTTCATGTAATATACCCTATACCTAAGTTCAACTGTTTTGGAAATATTGACAGTTGAACATTGACTTTTTGCAACTTTGACAGGCTGTAAAACCTAAACGGTTAATTTTAGACGAAAACCGATTATACATTCCTATATTAGATTTTTATAAGCTATCATTTGACACCAACTTTGAATTTAATTCATGATTAAAAATTCCAGTTAAATTTAATCTCAATTCAAAGTTGGTGTCAAATGATAGTTCATAAAAATCTAAGACACGAGTGTAAAATCGGTTTTCATCTAAAATTAACCGTTTAGGTTTTACAGCCTGTCAAAGTTGCAAAAAGTCAATTTTCAACTGTCAATATTTCCAAAACAGTTGAACTTAAGTATAGGGTATATTACATGAAATCTGCTCAGAATTTTACGTAGAATCCAAATATGCAATAACATACAGGGTGTTCCATTTAAAATTCTGGTTCTGAAGTCGGTGCAGCACCTTTGGGACACCCTGTATAAATAAAACTCAAATAATTGACAACATTGCTTAAAACTAAGAAACTTTTGTATTTTTTTTTTTGTACACCCTGTAGTTTCTGAGAAAAGACATAGGCCCCTAATAAAATGCCCACCCTGTACAAAGAAGTCTTTGATAGCGAATTTTATTGGTAGAAACAGTGCAGAAAAAATGTATTTTTATCTCTTCAAGATACAAGCTGGTAGAAAAAAACACGGATACACTTGGTGCGTACTAACCCTTCCTAGGCAATTTGAATCCAAGGATAATACACACTAAGGATTGCTTCTCGGCCTCGTTTTTGATCAAGGTTGTTTGAGAGAAGTAGGTTGCCTGATAACTTTATGACGTCATCTGGGGTGCCTCAATATAATGCAAATCTCCATAAGGCACCCCAGATGCGTCATCAAGTTACCCATTACCGGACAATCTATTAACTTTAGGAACCTTGGTTTTTGATAATCGCCGCCATATTGGTGTATCACCATTTCCGACGTCAATAACAAGTCGTCAGCTGTTTGCACTAAAGGTCGAGTTTAAAATTTGAATTTATGACAGTGGCGTAACCAGGGGGTGCGCCCCCCCCCCCGAAATTTCAAATCTAAAATCGAAAAAATGAGAAAGCAACCAGATTTAGATTTTAAATTTAAAATTTGGCGAATTCGCAAAATATTGAACTCTACATGTCACTTTTCTTGACAGTGGACTGACCACTAGGAGCGGCCTCCGCAATTCGTAATTCGCAACTTTATGTACTACACTTCACTGCAGTGCTCATTGCGGAATGTCAAGGTCAAGCACAAGTCGTGAGTTGCAAATTGCCTTGCTTTGCTCAGTTTTTGATCTTTTAGTTTTTCCTTAAAAATCACTAAAAACAGGTACCTAGTACCTATACTATATTGAAATCCAAGGGGCAGTAAATGACGCTGAATGTAAACAAACACCAGCTGGTAATCTAGCCTTCCTATTGGTTAATACGCCCCCCCCCCCCCCCCCCCCCCGAAAGATATTTCTGGCTACGCCACTGATTTATGATGAAAAATATTATTTAATTTTGATTAACATAATAGGCAAAGAGGAAGATGAAAACCAGATCTAAAAAAGAAAAGAGTTGTTTTAGAATGTCAATTAATGTAGTAAAACCAAGTATTCAGAAAGCAGAAGCCTGTGGTGCAAACAGCTTACGTCAAGGCGAGAAAGGACATGCTGCTACGTCACAACTGGTGATTGGCGTAATGGGAGGCTTCAGATTTGTTCCACACAGGGCCTATGAGAATAGGCCGGCTATCCTGTAATCCTGTAGTAGTAGTATGTGTTATCCCTAATTCAAGATGGGGACGTGGGCAAAGCAAACTTGACGAGCGTGAAAGAAAGTGTCCTTACATTCAATATTCAAATTAGGCAATTCAAACCACGTGACATTCAAGATGGCGTGGCGGCCACACATGGGCCAAAACACACAAAAAAATATCTAGTTTCTGTCCGAATTAATAGTTTAGGTACCTAGTCAACAAATATTTTATTAAATAATGAGAATCAAAGTTGTAAGCAAAACTGTATGCAAAATAATTTAAAATACGCATAAAAACATATTCAAAACAAACTTGCTTGGCCGCCACACCACATTGAATTTTCCGTTTTGACAGATGGATTGAATTGCCTAATTCCAATGGCATGTAATATTGACAGTTGAGTTGAAGAGGGCGCTTCTGTACTTGGAGCTATTTAAATTTTGGCGCGTAAATAATTGATTGTAATTTTAACCTCAAAAGTTAAGTCTGATGTGTAGTTTCAAGACAAGCTGACGCTGACACTTTTAAAAATATTCTCTAAGGGCCACTGAATGCTTTGGAAGATATTTTAACTTATTCATTGTCCATTGTTCATATTGTAGTCATCTTTCCTTCTACTCAATTTAAACGGTTTAAAACTATTGACATTTACCGCCAAAATTTGAAGCACTCCAAGTTCACTCGCGCCCTCTATAAAATTTTGGAGAACTTAACTGGATATTTGCTGCCATAAACGTGCCTTTACGGTTGTCAGGTGTGTTATTCCCACGGCGCCATATTGAATTGAGAGAACGTCAAATCGCCCTATCTTTTCATATCACTCATACTGTAAAAGTTTATTTTCCGCACTTATATAGTAGATATCTATTTCTGCGTCCTTACTTTTGGAAAACTTACAATCCTTTTCTGGAAGAATAAATAGAAACTGTCTAAATTAACACGCAGTTTATTCCTAATACCAAACTAATACGTCACAACTGGAATTTTGACGCAGTGTTGTCGCTAATTGGCATCATCATTAAAAATTTGTAATAGTTGGCAAAATATCAAAAAAAAAAATAGTTAAAGTAATAGGTATGGATTCAAGATTTTATTTGAAAAAATCCAAAAATTTTTATAAACAATTCTTTACTTTTCTTGATTGGAATTATTTTTGATAGGTACGTCATCGTCTGCCGCATCTGATGATTTTGACAAGTGGTTACTGAAAATTCCGGTAGGGAACACTAGCTTCAGTAGCCGTTTAAAAGAAAATACCTAAAGTTTGTTTCACGAGGGTTTGTATTTACGTCATCATTTGCCTCCTTTTTTTAACAAATAAAAATTGACCAGAGCTGTTCCGAGTACAGGCATAATGTACAAGGGTACTGAGTACAAGTACTTGGCTCAAAAAATGTACTCGAAGTACAGACTACAATTACAAGTATTCAATACCCAAGTACTCAAATTACCGAGTACATTTATGAATACATTCTGTGGGAGGGGGTTGTACGTTGTTAGGAGAGGAGAAGTGAGTTTTTTTGCGTTTAAAATGTGATTTATCTTTTTTTTGATTACCGGCGTCAACCTATCTATTGGGTACTTATTATTGTAAAACAATAAAGTTAATTTTTAAAGCAAAGTAGTAAGCAGCTGCGCATGGGTTACGTCACATCTCCTTTAATACTTCCGTCCAAATTCCCGAAACTTACCTTCAAACCGCTGGTATGGATGTTTACGCAGTACCGGGTATTTTTTATATTCTTGAGCAGTTCAAGTACAAGCAGGGATGTGCGTCTACACGTAGACTTTCATTGTCTACTTTACGTGTAGACAATTGTAGACAATGTAGACAATGTAGACAACGTGTCAACAATGTAAAATAATATAAATGACGTCTAATTCTAACCTCACACTTTCCTTTCCGAAAATTATTTTTATTTTATTATCGGTTTTCCTCATATTTATAATCAGTGAATGCTGATATCAAAGTGATAGGTATTAGCTACTTAGGTAGTAGTAATTTTGGATCTTTTTTTAAAATTTTCTAAAATGAGTTTATTGTTTACGCCACATGTAGACAATGTGTAGACAAATGCCCACGTAAACAATTCGAATTGTCTACGCGTAGACAATCAATTGTTTACGTTGACATTGTCTACAGGCACATCACTGAGTACAAGTACATAATGCAAAAAGTATCTCGGCCTAAAATGTACTTAAAGTACAAGTAAAGAGTACAAATGAAAAGTACTTGTACCCGAGTACCGCACAGCTCTGAAATTGACTGAAAAAAATTGATGACGTCAAAAACATTCATCGTTCTTAAAAACCAGAAGTGATTGGGTACATTCAGGCGGCCCTAGCGGCTGAGACTGCTTAGTAAAGCCTAGTCTCCATAGACGCGAAATCGCGATTTTTTTTGTTGATTTTTTCCTATTGGTTGGAATGAACATTTAAATGGTCAAAATGTCAAATTCCAAGCAATAGGGAAAAATCCGCAAGACTTCGCGTCTATGGAGAGTAGGCTTTACTAAGCAGTCTCAAAGAAAATACCTAAAGTTTGTTTCACGAGGATTTGTATTTACGTCATCATTTGCCTTCCTTCTTTAACAAATAAAAATTGACTGAAAAACATTGATGACGTCAAAAACATTCGTCGGTTTTCGAACAGTGCTGGGAATCTGTAATGAATAGAGATATTTTCGCTATCTCTATTAGCGTGTCCCGTTCCTTCTGATTTCGAAAAGAGAGAAGAAGACAACAAGTGCCTTAGCGATAGGGATAACGATCTCTATCCGTTACAGAATCCCGAAAAAAAAATTGTCAAAAGATGCGTAAATGCAAATAAAAATAAACCTTACTTTTGGGATTGAAATTACTATTATTTCTGTCTCGCAGTCGCAGTATTTAATACGCAGTTGATTAAATTAAATAATAAACTCTATTCTAAGATGAAAATTTTACCCCGAACGAGCTCTATGAACTAATCTACGACAATCCCTTTTTTCCAATTTATGATGTCATCGATGATGTAAGTACAGGGTGATCCAGTATAAAGTGAACACCCCCTACCTTTTTTGAAAAAATCAAGATAGCCATTTAATGTATTTTGTTTCTAGGAATTTGAAAACGTTTTTTGAAATTTAATTACATTTTTCGTTGAAGCGCTGTGACGCCAAAAGTAATTTTTTAAATGGAATAACCTATATTCAAATCAATTTTTTGAACGCCCCCATTTTCCTCATTTCAAATATATAGTTTGTTTATCTTTATTTTAGTAATTTGCGATATATTCTCACTTTAAAATTCACATAAAAATAGCCGAAAAGGTATCATAAAACATAATAACCAGTAGTTTTATTAAAGGTAAAATTATTTAGGTTTACCTTGATACCTTTTCGGCTATTTCTATTTGAATCTTAAGATTCTTAAGTGAGAATATATTCCAAATTACTAAAATAAAGATAAACAAAACTATATATATTTGAAATGAGAAAAATGAGGGCGTTTAAGAAATGGATTTAAATATAGGTTATTCCATTTAAAAAAATTACTTTTGTCGTGACAGCGCTTTAACGAAAAATCCAATTAAATTTCATAAAACGTTTTCAAATTCCTAGAAACAAAATACCCTAAATAGCTATCTTGATTTTTTCAAAAAAAAAATTTTTAGCGAAAAGGTACGTGTTCACTTTATACTGGATCACCCTGTACAAACCTTCGTGAAAGGAACTTTATATAATCTTTTTCTGTATCAAATAAAAATTTTCAGAAACGACTGATAAAAGAACCTTGAGATGATAAAAATACTCAAACCCAAGGTTCAAGGTTCCTAAAGTTAACCTCTCTCAAACAACCTTGTCCAAGGTTGTTTGAGAGAGGGTAGGTTGCCTGCAACCAAAGTTAATAGGTTGTTTGGTAATGGGTTACTTGATGACGCATATGAGGTGCCTTATGGAGATTTGCATTATTTTGAGGCACCCCAGATGACGTCATAAAGCTATCAGGTAACGTACAGTTATGAGCATTGAAAGTGGGACTACCTACTGACAGGTCTTGTCATTTTTCGCTATTTTGGTAATCAATCTTTTCTCTACAATGGATTTTTTGTCAAATATGACAATCCTTGTAATTGCCGTAGAGGTATAGCTGAGCCATTTTACGATAGGAAAAATCGGGTGTCCCGCGTTCAATGCTCACGACTGTACCTCTCTCAAACAACCTCTGGTTGCCTGATAACTTTTATGACGTCATCTGAGGTGCCTCAACATAATGTAAATCACCATGAGACACCCCAGATGCATCAAGTTACCAATTACCGGACAACCTATTAAGTTCAAGAACCTTGTCTCAAACCGACATCCGATGGCCGGTTACAGGTAACTAATTGGACATTTGAGGCCGGTCTCTCAATAGCAAGTCACCCCCCGGGTTAAGCATAACTGCATAAGGGCCAAATTCTGGACCAACTGGTAAGTGTCTGGTTGTTACCTAGCAGGTACTTTCTATTCTCTAGTGCATAGAAAATACCTGCTAGGTAACAACTAGACGTTTACCAGTCAGTCCATAATTTGGCCCTAAACCTCCAACTATTTGAAGCAAAGTTATATTAGGATAAAATATCAATCCGTAACAATTTGGCAACCAAATTGGAGGGGATACACCGGTGGTGGATTGCTCTCCTAGATGTTGGCGACACAAAAATTTGTTTACTTTAACGTCTATTGTGTTAATATGTCATTGGTTGAAACCAACCCGCAGGTGACTCGCTAATGAAAAACCGACCCTTGGTTAACCAGATTTCAAGAAACCGAGATTAAAAAAACACAAAATTGAGGCTGGGATCACGACAAGTAGAATTCTACTTTTATGACGTCACCCTCGACCTATTTATCGCGTACTGTACAGGCGAAGATGAGGGTTGCTAGACAACCTGACGTCATGAAAGTAGAATTCTAGTATAATTTTATTTGTCGTGATCCCAGCCCGAACCAAAGTAATTTGATTACTTTTGGACCGCAAAACCATGGTTATCTTCGTACCATAAATTGAATTATTGAACTTTCTTGATTGACAATAACAAGTCTGACAGAATTGATGTAAAAGTTGACTTGTCCGGCCACAAAAAAATGCACAAGGCAAAAAACTTGGAGAAAAAAGTTGCGTGTGCCCGAAGCTTTATCAGTGTGACGTCACTACAGATGCTATAATCGTTTGTTCGCCTATCAAAAAACGCTAAACGAGCGCAACTTCGATTTTTAAAATGGAACAACCTGTACAATTTATTTTAAGGAATTTGCAACTTATTGATAGGAAGTGATAGGAAGTTAGGATTATCGTTTAAAGAAAAACATATCTCAAATCCTTATAACCACAAACAAATTGGCAAAGTTTCAACAATAAGCTTCAATTATAAAACTGCCCTTTTATTTTATCTTGGTATTTTGAAAACCATTATGTTTTTTGCTACTTCCATGTTCATTGGATTTGAAATATTTGTAGTCAAACCGTTCTCCATTTGTAATTAGAATAAGTAGTTGATAAGCAATAATGAAGAGCACTACTTTATACCAAGGATATTACAGCAGATGTCACGATTAGCCTTAACTACAGAATTCTGCGTAAAGTTGACACTGAATTGATCGTGACCAGCCTTGAATACAGATTTCTGTAAAAATGTGTACAGATTCCTGTAAAATGTCGCCAACTATTCACAAATCGATCGTCAATTTGTTTAGTAAACACTGTGACGTATTTGACCACTCCCTCGAATCACGTTGCCTTCTTCCCTCTCGTCCTCGTCGGTTGTCGTCGTACGCGACCTTACATTGTTTGGGTTGATTGAGGCGTCATTCCAGTTCCAGCCAGCGCGCAACCAAAACGTGCAGTAGTCCTTGACTGAGATCGAGAAAAAAACAAAAAAAAAAATTCGTTAACAATCATGGCCTTTATGATGCCGGTAGTGAAAAACGATTGGGACATTTACAAGTCGAACCGTGCCAATCGGAATCGCCGAACGTCCGAGTGCTCGCACACGAACTCGTGCCGTTCGCGAAAAGTATCGGAGTGCAAGTCGGAAGGGCCGAACTCGCCGGATTTTATTACGTCACCGCAACATCACCGGTCCGTACCCGACAAAATGTCGAGCAGGCAATACACGAGATCGAATTCGAACAGTTCGCAAAGCGCGTCCGCATCGCCGCCGAAAAATAATTCGTCGACAAGTTTGAACAAGTTCCACAACAGGCTGTTGGACAAATTGAAAAAGACGATGAAAAGCGGTAAGGACGAAGAGAGGACTAGCTCGTGAGGCAGAGTGAGATACCTATATCGACTGTTATTATATTATATTTACTATACCTCCTAGAAGAGTAGCATAAGGATTTTTTTTGGATCTTCAATTTGACCAGGAAGAAGAATATCACCTGTGATATGTAGTTTCTATAATTGTTTTAATTGAAAATGTATATGTAAGAAGAATTGTGGGGCTGTTCCAACACTTCAAAAATCGCCCCATGAAAAGTTTCGAAACCACCCTGTAGGCTTTTGCTAAAAATCATGACAGTAAAATGAACGGTTTCCTGGAGGTGTTGGAACAAACCTAAAATACGCACCTGTGCAATTTTGTTGGGCGCCTTTTTTTTACTTTACTTTGGAGTTTTAATAATAAGAACGTCAAAAATTTAATTATAAGATCCACAAAATGTAGGGATTATTATATTTATCTCAACCGGATTTTGCACAGAAACTTTACAAAGTTCCTAGTGCAAATTTTGCATTAACTTTCAAAATAGTGAAAATCATTTTGAAGTCAACGCAACTTTGTACTTTTCAAAATTCCAAAGTAAAATCCCATTTTGTATAGGTACTTATTATGTTTTTGTGCTTACATTTTTTAAGCAGGGTCAATAAGTTATTTTGGATGCAGTTGAAATTTTAGAATGAAAACTTCCTGAATTATTCAATCAATCTCAAGAAAAAACTGGTCCTTTTATTTCACCTAATTATGTAATTTTGAAAATTGTTTTTATTTTTAAATAAATTACTAAAAATCTCACAACGAAAAGATGCCTATATTAGCTAATCTATAAGTCTTATTCAACAAAATCAAAATTTAAATTATTGTCAGGCCTGGTCATCAAGATTTTTTTTTGTGTGCATGTGTGTGGGTAGCTAATTAATATTATTTATTGCATAAAGTTAGAGCAATACCTACTATTTTCTAAAAAATTTGAGCGTTAGCTCAACAAAGCCCCCTATTTTGGGCTTTATTTATTTTCTCATTGAAAGACTGGTTAGTTTCGGAGGATAGATTTCGCTTATTTTAGCACATAAGTTTAAATAATTTTAAATCAAAAACTTTTTTGATTAAAATTATTAATAATAATATTGTAATAAATATACGAGGGACAATATAAATAAATTGTGTTGAATAAATTTATACCAAAAAACAAAAATGTACCTATTATACATCACTGCCCTCGTAGATTATTTATGGTAGTGACACATTCCGAAATTATTATATTTGTGTATAAATTTTTCTTTTTCTAAATAAAAAATATTTATAAAATAAATAAATATGTTTATATTTCGCTAAATATATAAATGTTGTTCGAATAAATTAAATAAATAAATATAAAATAATTAAATAAATAAATAAATGTTTCTGCTGCAATATTATACTACTTTTAAAATGTTTTTTTTTTCTAATTATATTGTATTAATAAACTAAAAATATGATGTTCAAGTATAAAAAAAAAATGTGTTTTATTTATTTTTCTGTTTTTTATAAGTTTACATGGTGTGGATATATATGGAACTGAATAAAAATTGAGGATTTTCGTCCTTTATTTTCTCGAGATTTTGTATGGGGTACAACTACTCGCCATCTTTTAGCTATTTAGCTCAATTTATAAACTTAACAATCGAGAATCTCAAGATTTTAAAATCTCTCAACAGTAGATACTGCAGCCAAGACTTACAATCCTAAGAGCATTTGAGTCAAAATTTTTGGTTCAATATTGAAAATCGAAACAGATAAGATTCTAGTCTTTAAAGTCTCATATTCTCGAAACCCCAAAAAAAAACATCAATATTGAAAATTCTTTAACAGTCAAGACCCAATTCTGAGAATCTTTGAGTCAAAATGTTTACTTCTAGAGTCAATGCTGTCACTCGAAAGAGACAGGATTCTCGTCTTTCAAGTTTAATATTCTAAAAACCCCGAAGATTCAATATCGAAAAGACTCTTAATAATCAAGAATCTCCAGATTTTGAAATCTCTTAACAGTAGATATTGCGGTTAAGACTAACAAATCCTAAGGGCATTTGAGTCAAAATTTTTGGTTCAAGAGTTTATATTAAAAATCGAAACAGATAAGATTCTAGTCTTCAAAGTCTCATCTTCACGAAACCCCAAAAACATCAATGTTGAAGATTCTTTATAGTCAAGACTTTCAATTCTGAGAATCTTTGAGTCAAAATGTTTAGTTCCAAAATCAATACTGTCACTCGAAAGAGTCAAGATTCTCGTCTTTCAAGTTTTATATTCTAAAAATCTCGAACACTCAATATTGAAAAGACTCTTTAACAATCAAGAATCTCCAGATTTTTAAATCTTTCAACAGTAAATACTGCGGTTAAGACTAACAATCCTAAAGGCGTTTGAGTCAAAATTTTTGGTTCAAGAGTTAATATTGAAAATCGGAACAGATAAGATTCTAGTCTTCAAAGTCTCATCTTCTCGAAACCCCAAAGACATCAAAAAATGTTCAGTTTCAAAGTCAATACTGTCACTCGAAAAAGACAAGATTCTCGTCTTTCAAGTTTAATATTCTAAAAGCCTCCAAGACTCAATATTGAAAAGACTCTTAACAATCAAGAATCTCCAGATTTTGAAATCCCTCAACAGTAGATACTGCAGTCGAGACTAACAGTCCTAAGGTCATTTGAGTCAAAACTTTTGATTCAAGAGTTAATATTGAAAATCGAAACAGATAAGATTCTAGTCTTCAAAGTCTCATCTTCTCGAAACCCCAAAGACATCAGTATTGAAGATTCTTTAACAGTCAAGACCTTCAATTCTGAAAATCTTTGAGTCAAAATGTTTAGTTCTAGAGTCAATACTGTCACTCGAAAAAGACAAAATTCTTGTTTTTCAAGTTTTATATTCTAAAAACCGCGAAGACTCAATATTGAAAAGACTCTTAACAATCAAGAATTTCAAAATTTTGAAATCTTTCAACAGTAGATACTGCAGTCAAGACTAACAAATCTGAGGGCATTTGAGTCAAAATTTCTGGTTCAGGAGTTAATATTGGAAATCGAAACAGATAAGATTCTAGTCTCATATTTTCGAAACCCCAAAGACATCAATACTGAAATTTTTTTAACAGTCAAGAATCTCAGTTCTAAAAATGTTTGAGTCGAAATATGTTTAGTTTTAGAGTCAATACTGTCGCGAGACACGATCCCCGTGTTTTAAGTTTTACATTTTAAAACCCCCGATAAGACTCATTCTAAAAATCTTTGAATCAAAATATTTAGCTTTATGTAGAGTCAACACAGTCACTCAAAAGAGACAAGATTTTTGTCTTTCAAGTTTTATATTCTAAAAACTCCGAAGGCTCAATATTGAAAAGACTCTTAACAATCAAGAATCTCAAGATTTTGGAAAATGAATGAATGAATGAACTACTTGTCTTTCAACTTGGCAACACGTATTTTATTTTGCTCCGCAGACCATTGAATTTAACAAGTTTAAAGTTGATATATTTCTATAAATTAAGTATCAGTGTGTTAGTAAAAGTGTAAACTGTTTGTTAGTGAAAGGTTCCTAAGTGTAAACGTAATCATTTCCGGAATAAATTGTAAAAACTTTTGGAAATCCCTTTAAAATGCATGAAAAATTCCCATCATTAAGGTGAGTTTACACATGCATGGATTTAGTGGCGCCAGTGGTCGCGCCAGTTCTATTTGCACGCCAGTAAAGGTTTACACTTTGTGTGAAAAACAGCAATAAGTGGCACGCCAGTTTCACTTTTAAAGTGCTTTTCTCAGTGTGCACTATGTCGAGTGAACTTTCCGAAGCCTGTAAAATAGTCGCTAAACTTTTAGGAAAAAAAAAAAGATAAAAGAAATACAGAAAAAGAAACGCAACCAACGAAATGGCCGTTTCTGGGTTGAACCATGGATTGGTGGTCGACCCACTTTAGCTGCTTTTGCAAAACTTCTAGGAGAACTCGCAGCAACCGAAATGGAAATCAAACGAAAAACTGGCGAGCGGACGCCGACGTGCAAGCACTTGTTTACACTTGCAAGTTTTGATTTTCTGTACGAATTTGTCACCACTAGCGCCAGTGATTTCAGAAGGATGCAGACTTTTTTGGACTATGCATGCAAATATAAAATGTGTATGCAAGTCCATGTTTACACTTGCTTATAAAATTTTTTGGCGCGCCAGTTTTTATTGGCGCCACTAAATCCATGCATGTGTAAACGCAACATTATTAAAATAACAATAGATTATTTCTTGTCTCCTTGCATTTTTTGCTATTTAGCTTATCTATTTACCACCTGCCGTTAAGGTAAACAAACTATCATTCGGAAAAAAAAAACTTAAAGAAAAAAAAAACCTATTAGTTTCTGTAAATACTACTATAAACTATAAACTCAAAAACCAGTGTAGTCCGGGTGCATATGAACTTTTATCTGGGTTTTGATCAGTGAAATAATTATGGCAACTCATTTTAAATGCTGTAAGGACAAACCTCAAAGTAATTGGTGTTGTGTGATCTGTAACAGTCTTCTTCATCCTAGTTGCTTGAGAAGAACAAATAAATATACCGTTGTAAATAAGCATTTAATATGATATGGTGCTCCAAAGCATGCGCCGAAGAAGCAGAGAGACGTGAAACTGTTGGGAGACGGATCAAAAACTAATTAAGGAGTTGCGTGAAGAACTTTCTCAAAAAGAATCTTACCTGAAACGTGTAAAAAGAAACTCTTGCGCACTAGAAGAGAACGCCTTGGAAGTAGAGGAGAAATTGCTGGCTGAAATTGACAGCAAAAATAAAATAATTTATGACCTGAGAAATACCATAGAGCAGCTACAAAAACAAATTGCGTGCCGCCCGTGCCGGAAACAAATTTGTCGAGAGGATAAATATAGCCAATGTGAAATTCAAAGAAAACACTCTTCAGTTCAGACTGATAATAAACTTTTTTGTAGCTTGCAAACTCAAACAGAGCTTGATGGCGTCAATGCTGTGAACTTTGAGGAAGAGGCCAAGGAATTTCAATTGTTAAAGCAGAATATGCTAACAAGCATCGAGGTACTTACAGCAGAAAATAACTTCTTATCATCTGAAAATAAAAAACTTCATAATGAAGTTTATGCTGCACTGGATAATAATATAGCCTATCAACCAAATAACCAATTAACTCCAACTCTCGACTCTTCTAGGGACAGAAATTTACCTACGCAATCCCCAATTGGATCCTGTGTTCAGAATAATGGCTCAGGTAACCCTGTCAAACTTTATAAGATGCTAATTCTAACTGACAACTTTGCAAGATTTTGTTATAATCCATTATGAGAAACTTTAGGAAAGCAGTATTCCTTGCAGATTGTAAGCAAGCCGCATGCGCCAATAGAGGGTCTGGCTAGTATGAACGACTCATTGTGCAAAACAGTTAGAAATTTGAAACATCGCCATAAAAACATCGACCTCACTGATCTTCAAAACAACCCTATATTATGCAATTGCGATTTTATTTATAACTCCGTTTATCTGAAAAGGCAAGGATTGTATAAAGTGTCTAAAGTTATTAAAAACTTCATTGTTCAGCGCAATCCAGAGAAGGTTCCTAACGTGTCCTTATCTTCATTATCTTCATTGAATTTCTGTAAGAATGACTCTCTTTCAAACGTCGCCGTCGTTCACTCGGGCTATGACTCTTCCTCCGGCTCAGACAAAGATTCCTATACCGTAATACACATAACACTGGTGTAACTCAAAGATCTTTTTTAGAAATGCCTTTGGTAACTCGGGTAGCTCGACATTAGCGACTAATACGCAACTTTCACTTATTTTACTGAATATCCAATCAATAAAAAATAAAACTGATGAACTTTCAATTTTTTTAGCAGAAAAAAACTTCCCGGATGTTGTGTGTATAACGGAGCATTGGCTAAAGCAGGATGAAATTTTTTATATTCCCAATTATACTTTGATATCTAAATATTGTAGGACTGATTGCATTCATGGTGGAACTCTTATATTGGTAAACGAGGGGTCGCTTCTGGTCTATGGTTTCAAACAGGCATCGGAATTTAATATATATTTAGAGGAGAAGGTATTTGAATTTTCATTGATGCATTCGAAGGACAACAATTTATATATTCTTTGTATCTACCGTTCACCTAACTCAAATTTCAATCACTTTCTACAAAGGTTAGAAGTACTTTTGTCGTCTATGCCTATCAATTGCAAAATTATTCTGTCTGGGGACTTGAATGTGAATTTTTTGGATAGTGGTGCAGGTAACACCTTACAGATTCAGAACTTATTGGATTCCCACAATCTTAAAATGCATGTTAACGGTCCCACTCGTATTACACAGTATTCACGCTCAATGATAGATTATTTATGTACAAATTTTGATTCTGACTTGACTTGTAATGTTATAAATGGTGGGCTTTCAGACCATGAAGCGCTGCACTGTTCTATTGATTTTCATTTAAAAAAAATGACACCCAAATATAAAACTGGTAGGCTATTTAGTAGAGCAGTGGCTCCCAACCTTTTTTTAATCACGACCCTTTTACAGATTTGCTCATAAGGTCGCGGCCCCCCTACCCATTAATAAATAAAAAGCCAAATTTCATTTATTCGAGAAATCTGGAACAAAAATATTAACATTTCGTAACTAAATACAAAAGGTGAATTTTTATTTTGTTAATGTGATGACTGAGCTTGCATCTCCGTAACAAGTCTCGAAATTCTTGGTTGAATTTTTGTTTAAGCCAATCTTGTCTCATCTTGAACACCCAGTTTATTTCTGGCCTTTGTTCTAATTTGCAAAAGGGTTGAAAACCCCTCTTTCACGAAGGTAGGTAGAGGGAAATGGTATTAGTATCCGAAAAGAAAGCTCAAGCAGGTCGACATAAGGATATGAACTATGCATGGCAAATCAAAATTAAGTCAAGAATTTCTGCTGAAATAGGGCAGGTGCTGTGGAATCATTTCTCAGTTCTAAAAATGTATCCTGCACTTCATCAGGAACATCGGCAACATGTATCGAGGCTTGAAACGGGTTCCTTACTACTGCAGCACCCAGCGCCCATGCAACCCCGCGCGGATTTGAGGCGGAGGCCAAAGCGTGTTGCCAAATGCAGAAAAATATACACGGTGGTCCATTTAACTTGATATAGTCTATCTCGAAACGACGCGTTTTTGAAAAAAAAAAAAAAAAAATTCAAATAGAAGCTATGGTGTCACGGGGAAAAGAAAATGATAGCAATGATTTTTGACTATCAACTTTTATTTGAACTTTTTCTTTCAAAAACGCACCGTTTTCGACATATTAGACTGTCTCGGGCTAAATGGACCACCCTGTATATTAATATTGGCATTGCGACCCCTCCAAAAACCCTATCCGACCCTCTTAGGGGTCGCGACCCACCGGTTGGGAACCGCTGTAGTAGAGGGAACTATGGTAGATTCTGTCAGCTATGCTCTGCTCACAGTTGGGATGGTATTTCTGTGTCTGATGTAAAATCGGTTTTCGTCTAAAATTAACCGTTTAGGTTTTACAGCCTGTCAAAATTGCAAAAAGTCAATTTTCAACTGTCAATATTTCCAAAAACAGTTAAACTTAGGTAGAGGGTATATTACATGAAATCTACTCAGAATTTTACGTAGAATCCAAATATGCAATCACATATACAGGGTGTTCCTTTTAAAATAACAAAATTCTGTCGCATACCCCGTAAACGGAGCACCCTATTCAAAAATATTTTCAACTAATGCATATTAGAGTATCAAACAACTTTGTAATTTAATTTTTTTTCTTGCATCACCTTGTAAGGAAATTTCGTCCGATATCGCACTAAGTGGACACCCTGTATATTATGGTGACTCGTAATTTTCTTTTCTGCATTTCTGTTATGTCAGTCAAAAAATTTCAATTTAATCCGACTAAAACTAAGGGAGATACAGGGTGTTGAGTGAAAATTTTAAAAAATCCATAAAATTTAAGATCGTTGGAAAATGCGAGTTTTGACCAGTTTCGCAATTCGAAATTGACTGGCGATGAGTCCTAAAAACGCATCGTAGAGGTCCCTCGTTCTCTGACTAATCAAGAGCCTGGAATAGACAGAAGATGAACGGAAAATAATAATAAGAAATGTGAGGAGTAATCAGCATTTAAAGGTCTTGAATTTCTAATGGTATAGAGTATAGACGGAAGCAGAAAATAGCTTTTCAACGTTTCGACACTCGTTTGGTGTCATCTTCAGTGCAAACAAATCAAGGGTCGGGGTCGCAATAGCTATACGTGCTTGTAGCTTCGTATACCACTTCTGGTTTTCTTCAATTTCCTTAATCCAGGGCAGACTCTTGAATTTTCTCTCAGAAGAAAACAAAAATTCGTTAGCTTGGAATACACAAAAATACACAATAAAAGTTAAAAGTAAAAGAGTAATTCCTTTTTCATTTTTCGATAGGTAATTTCGTTCTTCTGTTCCAGGCTCATGAGTAGGGGAAACTGTTGTATAGTGGGACAGGTTCCATAGTGGGACAATTCAAATGGTCCGCCACCGGTATCGCTTAAAATTCCGGAAAAAATTGTGTCAACTGCTTCATACATGCGCCTTAGATATAACCTTGGCATTCGCCGTTAGAGTCTTCAATATGGCGGAATTCTCGTTACTCTAAACATCAAAGTGACAAAGTTTTTTTTACGACCACGTGTTGGGCATAGCTTGTGGCAGTCATATCCAATGGTTTGTCCTGAATTTGAGAATAATTGCGCCCGAAGGTGTCTTGAAGGTGAGTTAAGGTTATTTTTTGCTAGTATTGTATTTTTTTTTAATTCAGAAAGCGTATAAGGGTGTATTGTGGGACAGTATATAATATGGGACAGAATTTTCGGGTTGCATATTGGGACAAACATTTTATATCCTTTATAATAGAACACTTTTTTTTTTAAACTAGTTTCATTACCTTTTTTCCTCCAGAAATTGATAAGAATAGCCTTAAGAATGCTGAGGAAGGCGGTAGAGGCTGTTCTTAAAAATGAAATCAATATTCGGAATGGCGGCAGTTTAACTTGTAGTTAGCAAATCAGCGTTGCATAGACAGAAGCACAAAATAAATGAAACAGACACGCAGGAATTAAATTTTCAAAGGCAACATGGTGTCATGCAGATTTTCAGTGACGATGAAGAGCAAGCAATGACCTAAGCAAGTGCTTACCGAATATTTAGTTACTTCTTCTCAAATGTGCTACTGGTTTACTAGCAAAAAAACTAGAAAGTTGGCTTATAGATATGTCTTCGCAATTAAAAAATAATCCAAAAACATGGACAGAAAAATGAAATCGCCGGAGAATAGTTCAAACTTTTTCGAATTCGAAATAAGTTCGTCTACCTACTTAATTTATGTTGAAGTTCTATCATTTTGTGAATAAACGACCAAAATTTTTTTTTTATATTAACTTATTTGAGTTCAAAAAAACATTGTCCCACTATACCCATGCATCTTTCCTAGTATGCAACATGGGGTGGTTGCATAGTGGGAAAGTGGTGTATAGTGGGACATTAAATTTTTTCTATGTTAAAGTGTGAAAGTTGTTAAATTTGTTATAGGTAGTTGTTATTAAACAAACCACTTTTGAATATATTAAAATGTTCACAATAGTTAAAAATTATTCAACAAATTTTTTATTTCAATTAGAAAAATATTGTCCCAGTATATAACAGTCTCCCCTACCTACTAAGAGATTAAAAGGTTTTTCTTCAAACAAATTGAAGAAAAACAGAAATTTTTGAAAAAATTAGAAGCGCAAACAAAGGAGGGATCGAACAATAAATTATAGAATATATCAGATAATTCGGCGAGAAAAAAGGATATCGAAACTCGATTTCTGACTCGATAAATTAAAGTTTAGTAATAATTATTATTGTCCTCCCCAAGACCCATTAATACGAAAATATCAAAGAAACTGGAACATCGACTCTGGGAGTGTTGAATGCTTGAAATTCGCGAAAATTTGCTACCGGACTTTTGAGGTAGGTAGGTACAATATGTATTTGTAATTTTATTTTATACCTACCTGGCTGATAATAATAGGTACCTAAATGTAAATACATATTATAGCCTGTTCACAATCCGATGTCCACGTAGGTACGGGTAAATTTTTCACCTTTCCCTATCAAATAGCATTGAAAGGTGATTTTACCTGTACCTACCTGTGGACATCGGATTGTGAACCATAGATAATTGTGAACGGATAATAATTTCATCAACAAATCTTTGTTAATCAAAAATAAAAATTGAACGTCATCAGAGCGCATCACCTATAATTAAATTATATTTCGTATTACTTAATTCCTTCATACTTCATACTTAAATCTGGATAAAACTGGACTCAATTCATGACGATTTTGAAAATCCAGTACAATTTCAAATAAAACTAAAATAATGATATAATTATTGTCCGACTGAGAATTTTATAATGACTAATGACAAAAAGGTTGAAATAAGCTAAATTGGAGCAAAAAATATAATCGAACAATAAATAAGTACAAGTTTCATGATACCAATACCTATATGTATACCAATGGTAGAAAAGTTATCATCTGACTTTAGGGTGACCTACCATAACATTTATGTTAATTTTTATCTGATTACTAATAATTTTTCTTATCTTGAAACATGCTCAACGACGTCACATTGTTAAACATAGAATTTTTATAGTGGAAAATTCCGCTAGTTGTAATAATTGCCTCCAGACCAGAAACAGAACAGAGCTTACGGCTGCTAATTGTTTCATGGTTTTATAAATAGCCGATTGTACCAAGCCTGTTGCGGTGGAAAGTTCCATTCAATTTTGTTGATGAATTAATGGGATCTCGTTTTTGTACGTTTGTCCCATAATCGAAAATCAAGAACTCACTACTGTTCTTGATTTTTGCAAGGGCATGTAAAAATAAATAAAAAACCAAGATAATTTATTAAAAACTAAGATCATCACAACAGCAAATAAGTTAAAGAAGAAAACAGTCTGAAAAAAGGATCAAATTCAATCCCAGCCTTTGCGGCCACTGTCCACGTGCGGGCCGATGCCTCTAGGTTTCAAGGGTCCTTCGATCTTAGGGGCATAATTATCGAAATGTCCCAAACCGGGATTTTTGAATACTCTCGTGATCACCGGTTCACCGTGGATAATTGCTGTGGCTTTGCCGTGCTCTTCGTAACCGCCTCCCAAACCTCCTGGGTAGGCGTAGGCGATAGCTACAAGAGCTAGAAAGGCAACCTGAAACGGAATATATTTTCAAAAAAAAAAACAATCTAGGGAATTGATTATAAGTTAGGCAACACTGGACATTTACACATGAAAAGTTGTACAATTTTGAATGCTCTGGTGATCAACTTTTCATGTGTTATGTAAATGAATTTGTGCAATAATACTATTGGAACAATCAATTTATAGTATTTTTAGGATTTTCTTGATATATGTATGGCAACAGTGGAAACCTTTAAAAACTGGGATTCTAACTCAAACTAACCCAAACTACATCAGTTTGCGCCTTGGTTGCGCTACTGCATTTTGAGTAAAACAGAAGTCTTTGAAAAATCACACTGGAAACCAAAAGTTTAGAGTATCACGGCCGAGCAATATTCTCTCGTAGGCCCAATTCCTCATAGATTGTCATAGGATAGCCTACCACCTCTCTCACAAGGCCGTAGTGATTTTTTGAAAAACATTTTTACAAACAAATTTGCATTTTCGAGCATCGCCTAAAAAAAATGTATGTGAATAATGTTGAATATCTCAGACTGTAAAAAATGATTCATCCAATGGTTTCCCGGCTATAAAATAGAGTTTGGCAACGTTGAACGGTGTTTTTTTATGTTTTCAACGTAGCAAGATCTTCGAAAATGACTCGTATTATTATGAATTTTCATAAATGGAAACATTTCAACGGAGTGTGATTTGGAATAAACAATTCCAGAAAAATGTGAGACTTGGCAACAACGTGAGCAAAAACTTGAAGTGAACCAAAAAAATTTGATGAAAACCGCATCTTCATATTATTGATTTTTAACCCATTGAGGCTAGTGATACTTTAACAAGTATGGACATCCTGTATTTTATCCTGAAATGATGTTTACCAACACTGAACAATGCTGGAGTTCTTCGAAAATGTCCTCATAAATAACAAATTTGTATGCAATAAATATAGGAAACTTACACTTTCTGTAAAAATATCCTTGGAAACAAAATTGTCTGTCAAAACATCGAAACACCAAAAGTAAGTTTTCAAATATTCACAACGTTACCAGATTCTCAAAAATATCTTCAAAAAAAAGATTTCTTGTATGTTGTATGTACATACATGCATAAAAAGCTATTTTATTATAAAAATTTGAGCTATTTGATTTAATCTAGATTTAAATCAGTCTGTCAAATATTAATTAAGCTACAAGCAATTTTGACTCAAAAAAGCTTCAGACAGTCCCAAAAAATGACAATAATTCTCTTAAAACGACTTGACTATACACAAACACAAAGCAAAAAATCTAAATTCTTACCAAAGTTTTCATTATTTTTGAAAAATCTCCGACTAGTAAACTACAAAAAGGAAAAAGCCGAACTGGTGCATCAAACATAGGCCCGATATGCGTTTTATATGGTACCTGTACCACAGTACGGGTACCTACTCTACAGAGAAGGGAGGGTGAAGCAATTTCAATTTTTTTTAAAGCGGCCGTTGGTTTTTAATGGGTTCCGCATGGCGTATAATGGTTGTGCAATAAAAATGCATAGACATTTTTGGTACTAAAACCTAACATATGAAGAACTTAGTTTTTTGGACGATACTTAAGTTGAAAGAGTTTATAGTTGAAAAATCTAAATTCATTGAAAACAATAAGTCTTTCTTCATTTAAAGACACAGTAATAAAATTGATTATTCAATAGCGATAGGTGAGTAATTATTTAAATTTTAACAAGATTCTAATCTATTTCGATTACCGGAGCAGATCGGAGAAGATTTCTCCTATAAATTGACTTTTATTTCGTTATACAATAATGACCATATATTACATCATCGTGAGAAATCAATAGAAATATTATTTTATATGAATAATGATGAGGCTTCCATTACGTTTCAACATTTCGACGAAACCCCTACCAAAACAGAATTTTGTTCCAAACAATAATTAGTCAATAACTAACAAAGAAACACATTCTTGCACCTTAATTTGGTGATGGATGAAGATGTCAGTTTTCATTTGTGATTTCTTTCCATGGAAGGTAGGTGGGGATATTAAATGATCATTTGAACAGTAAAAGTCTTATTGCCAGTTTTTGTTACCTCTTTGCTTTATCATAAATAAAGTCTTTAAAAAAAATAATCCAAAAGTAAGATAATATTGTTGTATAATAAAACTAAGTGAAAGCGATAATCCAACAATCCTTTCAGTATTATCGTTGACTTTCCGGACAGCCTGTATGTAGATGACCCGGTGAACTTTGTACCACCTGAAACTCTGAAACTGATTTGATAGTTACTCCAACGTCGCTGCCATTGTGTGATTTACATAAACACATATTTACGTGATTCTAGCTAGAGATTTCTCGAATAAATGATTTTGTATGTAAAGTGCATAGTTGTAAGTCAGTTTAAATATGAGAATTTCTAATAAAAAAAAAATTAAAAGTCTTACAACACACTTAAACCAAATTAATACATTTATTAAGTCGTTCTAAAATGCATAAATCTGCTTCCGCTCGGTTTCAATAGGCCTTCGATGATGCAAGCAAAAACTACATATATAGATACCCAATAATTGCCAATAGAAAAAGTCAATTTTGGGCGTAGATTATCCAATCGTGATTTTAATGATGTATAATTGGGGCCATTATATTGGCAGTTCCAGCCTAAAACTAGAACAAGAATGTTTATTTTATATAATTTTGGGATTATAAACATGCCAAATTGAGTTGGCTCATATTTGAATTAAATAATTTATATATGGCATGCAAAATGTAATTTTGACATACTGGATATAGTTTACACAATTATTATTTTACCTAGGTACTTGCAGTCCTGTTTTTTTTCAATTACATATCTGATGCACATGAAGGTCGGTGTATTATTAATTGCGTTCTAATACCTACCTACCATCTATCTTTTTAAATATAGACACAACCTTGACTTCCGGTTTATTTATAAACCGTGCAATTAATTCTATATGATAATTTGTATTGAGAAACAATTAAATGAGGAAGTCGAGAATTAATTTGAAAATATTCTATTACACGAGGCGACACCCAGCATCCGCAATGGAATTTTCCGTTGCTCCAAACTTCGATCCATTTTTGTTCAGCCTCCTGCTTGTATTTCATTTTGCATTGAAGACAACACGAAATCTTAACAAAAATTAACTGGGACAAATTATTATAATTGCATATGAATAATTTATATAAAGATGTGACAAAATAGTTACGGAACATTCAAATTGATATTATAAAACACCTTATTTTTGTTAATTGAATTATTAAGACTGTTATTTGATTTACCAAAGGTATATGTAATAGGTAGGTACATTTCTAAATTTTTCATCCAAATTAACTATAGAAATATGTATAACGAAATTCCATTTGATTGACAAAATATGATGGAAATTTCCACTGCCTGCGAGCAGCGTACTACAGGCTGGCTATTTTTAAACCAGTCAGCAGGGATATTTTATTTTAGAATGCTTCTTGGTAAAATACTTGCAACCAGTGGAACTTTCCACGACAATTTTTATTATTAGCCAAGATTGTGACTATTGTTAGGTTTCCTTTATGGTATTAGATAAAACTTATTCATGTTTTAGGATAGAAACTATTAGTGATTAGTGTTTTAGAAATGTAAATCTCTTTTATATATATTATCGTTAATTTCCCATTAAATATATCTCTTTTTTTTTGTAAAAAGAAGTTAATGAACTTGGTAAATATATATTTCTACAAGTATTTTATTTTATTTAATGGGTTTTATGACTTTATTTTGTATAGTTTCGTAGTAATTTTGTCATGTCATGGATTAATCTCAGATTCGGAATTCAGTTTTGCAATGGTGAATAGACATTTTATTTGTTATAGACCAACATCAAAAGTCAAAGTTAAAAACATTTACTAAAAAATCTTTTTAAAGTAAATACTTCTGATACTTCACTTTAAAAATATTTTTTAGTAAATTTTTTGAACTTTGCCTTTTATTATAATGTTGGTTTATGACAAATGAAATTTCTATTCACCATTGAAAACTGAATTCAGAATCTAAGAATATACTGAGGACGATTTTAACGAATTTTATTAAAGTGACAATATCTCGGAAACCATCGATTTTTTACTAAGGTCATATTATGTTTTTCTGGATACCAATGAGTTGCTCCATCAGCCCTTTCAGTATTATCGTTATTGACTTTCCGGACACTCTCTATATACCTAGTTCTTTAACAAAAAAAATAACATGTAGACTCATAATTTGAAAAACTTTCCGTATACTTATCTTGAAAGAACTTTTCCATTTAAAAATAAATCAAATGCTATTATGATTTATAGGTGAGTAATTTGTCAGAAGCTTATAAATTTTTCCATGAATTTGCGGTAGCGTTAATATTAATAATTATTATAAATAACAGAAACGCTCCCTATTATCAGACTACTTCGAGCAAGTCAAGGATAAAGGTCGTTTATTTTCAAATAAGGTTAAAGTAGATTAAGTTTTATCGATTCGATTTAATGGAGGAAACTGAACTTTTATTAACCAATCAAATCTTATATAGTTTTGGTTGGAAATGGGGTTGCACGCAAATCCTATTAGTTTGTCAGATTAAATATTTTATGGTACAAGGTACATAGTAAGGCTGATAAATCTCTAGGAAATAAGGTATCTACCAAGAAAATCCTACTTGAAAGCTTTTGAAAACAAGTTTGTTGACCCTAAAGTACCATTTATCTTATGGCTTTTGCCTTGAATTTATAATCTCTTATCTGTTTGGGTCAATCAATGACTTTTCCATCATTTAAATTGGTATAGTACCCAAAACAAGCTTATTATTGATTAGCCGTAATAGACTATAATAATTATTTTTAATTGCAAAAGGCGAGCCAAAATACATAATAATTATAATAAAAGCCCCTTGGAAAATTTCCGCTATATTAGCCAATGGAAATTTTTTTATATTAATTATAATCGTCGACGTTGCATCGTGATTAATACAGGTAATAATTGTGAAAAAAAAAGTTTCGCAACTTATATTTATAGGACATATTACGATAAATAATTAATATAAAAATTAATATTAATTCAAATAATATCAACTATTTTTCTATAGTTTTATAGCTGGTCTTTTGATCTTTAGATAATTAACACTGAATTAATAATTACCTATTGTCCAATATTTAGGTCAGGAAAAATTTACGATTTGTTTATTATTAAAATTAGCACCAAAAAGTAAATATTTTTCCATATGGATGGGTATTTTTTTTCCAATATTTTTGGTTGTTTATGACAATTTTGTTGTTATTTTCACTTTATCTTTGTTTTATAGTTAACATTTACCAAATAAGTGGAAAGATAAACATTATTTAAATGTTAGAAGTTAACCAAAATACCTAGGAATGCTAGGAGTTTTTTTTTCAATTTCTGTTTTAGTTCGGATTAACTACAACAATATTTGTTTTTGAAAAGATTTTATTGAATTCAACAGTAAAATACAATATGACAAAAATTAAAACTCGACTTGCTGGTTAACGTACACTTTCAGGTTATGTCCTGGTACCTACTTCTGGTACTGTTTCCTAACATTTTTCCTTTTTTTTAAATAAAATCCTCTAAAAATACAAAGGTCGTTTTCTCAACCTTCCCGATTTTCTAACTTCACTATCTAAATTATATTTCTTCAGAACAGCTTCATTAAAACTAACAGTATTTGCACTATGTTCTTGACAGTCGATCATTTCCTCAGTATTTGTATTATCTGTTGAGAATTCTATTGAATTGTTATTATCTGCTGGTATATTTTCAATGATAACTTCTTAATCTAATCACTGATCTAAGCTTTGTTCTACGTGGTCTTGCAAATTAAACTCTTCCATTAAAAAATGTAATGGGATCGATAAAATTTGATTCCAAAACGTGAATATATTTACTTCCTTTTATTTTGATATTGTAAAGCTTGACGTGATTGTTTTAGTTTCAAATACTTCAGGCCACTTTGAATAGGCATCAACAATAATTAAATACCTAAAAATCGTTGATTGGACTATCAAAATCTATATGAATTCGTTGCCATGGGCCCTTTGGAACAGGCCATGCTACTGGAGAAATTTTTGATGGACTTCTTGAAACTTCTGCACATTTTTAGCATGTTCGCACAAAAATGATAATAATACCCCTGTCTATATTTGGCCAGTAAACATATCCACGAGCTATGGACTTCATTCTTTCTTGTCCAGGATGACCAGTATAATGATTTTAGAAGAGAATTTCGAAATTTCAATGGTATGACTATTCCCCGTCTCTAAACATTAGACAACCTTTAACAACGGATAATGAGTTTCGTCTATAATGAAAATTAAGTGCATAATTTTCAATATCCTTTTTGTTTGTTGGCCGATCATTCTATACCATACATAATGAATAACTTTAAAATAAATTTTGTCCTGTTGAGTTTCTTGATAAAAAAATTGGTAAATTTC